TAAATTACCGACTTTCCACCTAAATATCCGCTGAATCGCCCACTTTTCGTCCATATTTCCGCCGAATTTCCTACTTTTCGCCTACAGATACGCTTAATTGTCAACTTTTCGCCTAAATACACACAGAACTCCCTATTTTCGATCCATTGGCATAACCCCAAATGTCTCTCATGTTCGCCTTTATTTTCAACGACAGACCAAAATAAAATTGCAATCCACGGGGAAACCGGTATATTTTTAAAAAATTTTATTGAAAAGGAAAAGCATATTTTTGTACAACATTAAAGCAGAAGCTTCAGCATCGATTGTTTTGCATTTCCGTTGCAATTGCTAAATCATAGTTATTTGAAAATACATGCAAAAGAAGGAACGGGTGATGTATTATTTATAAGGCATGTGTATTTAATTGCTAGTTCACTGGCAATCAAACACACTTTCTCAACACTTCAATAGCTTCCCATGTAATTAAAAAGGTAAGCTGTTTTACCAAAAACTGTTTGTCAAAAATTAAGTAGAACATAGAAAAGATTGTACGGACTTTTGCCTTCAGCCACGTATGTTCGGCTATTGAGAATTGAAATAGTCGTCCTGTGAATTCTGAGGGTTAAAAAACAAAACAAGTCACAACGACACCTGAATGACATGCTTTGACACAGCCAAATAATTTAAGCTGAACTTACGGTTATGTTCGTTATTACAGTAGACTGTAACTATAGAGCCGTAGGGAAGTTATAACTTTAAATTAGTACATACCTGATCTTGTTTCCTTCTACTACGCTTTATCATTTTTTCTCGGATATCGTGAAAATAACCTTGTGTCGCGATGTCGTACAGCTTAGAAAGGTCTTTTTCTTTGACAGCGGATGACAGAAAGCGATTTGTTAACGCACCTGAAGTTTAAATAATAAATAAGAGTTACTTCCTATGCAGCCGTAAAACCGGCATTTCTAAAGTGCTCGTTTTGGAGAGGTGCCAAGTAACTTGAATTTACTGGCAACCTCAGGTGTCAAGAGGTGTGACAGAACATACCTCATTGATGTTTTCGGATCATCGCCCGATAACCGGCTAACCATTGCCATCTGTAACAGGAACAAATGATCAAATTAATGTTGATGACTTACAAATCGGTTCCTTGCCTACGATCTACTCCTTGGATGCTATCATAAGTTGTTTCTTGCTGAGGACGTCAACAATGACGTATCGCTTGTTAGTGGGCTAAAAATAACATAAGATGTAATTAAATGGTTTATCGTCATAAACTCAACACTAATGAAACAAAATGCATGTACATTAAAGCATGCAACAATGGGATTATAACTAGATTATTGATAAAATTTATGGCTATGCATTTACAATCAATGTCCTTAAGCGATATCCATGTGCGATCATGGATAACTACAGAGCACATAAAGATTCCTATATCACTAGATGGGAAAGAATCTTCAAAATAATTGCGTGGGTCAGTGAAAAACCTAAATTTTAGTAGTCCATCCTCCTTTATATCAGTGACTAAACCAGGCTTTCCGTTTACTACTACCACGTTATCTGACTTAAATGAAGTTATTTTACTATTCTTAAACATAATTACTTGTTTATTGGAGACATCTTTAGCGCCTCTTGAGGTAGTATCTGTTAAACAAGTAAGTTGAAGCCTATCGTAGACGGACATATTTTCAGCATAACGCTGAGCTAGTTGCTTAGCTACTGCAAACCCACTGTACACAGAATCCTTAATTTGTCTCATATAGGACTCGAATGGAAAGGCTGAAAAGCTATCTAAAGGTCCATGTGCACGAACGTCGTTAGGGAGGTGCTCTAACGAATGCACATTGTAAACTAAGGTTTCAGACCCATAACACCATTCGTATTCCTTAAGGAAGTTTTGTAAATCTATTCTGGCGGATTCTTCAACAGTATTATGTAATTTAGGATGTGCAAGCAGGTAAATGGATAACGCTAAACGCCGGAAATTAACATACAAAGGTTGTGGCAATGCCTTTTGAAGAATCACCGGGCCTAAATGCAGAAGGAACAACCTACATTCAGAAGCTTTCCATGTCGATACAAAGTCTAGTGTACGGCATTTACGCAGAAAGTCGGAAGGATTACTTGCCACACAACCTGATATTAAATTACTTATGTCTCTAATTGCACATTGGTTAAAGTTCAGCAGTCTTCTGCGTGCTAAATCTATCCATAAATTATCCAGATTTTTTGTAACACTTAGGCACACCATGTGCTAAGGATCAAAAAGAAAAGTTATAATCATATTAATAGGAAGCTTTTCCATAATAGAATGTCCTTGATGGTGAATAGATTGAGTCTGAAAACGGAACGTTTCGCCTGTTCTAAAAGTATATACTCCATTTGGAAAGGTCGTCTTCCACTCCGGCCGTCTCCCAAGTACAGTACACCTATCGCAACCTGCCTTACGGTTATGATTTGCCGTGTACCTAACGGAAGAACGGACAGGTGAGTCACACATAACAGCCGCCAACCTAATAGCTATGTATTTATTAAAATTCACACTAAAAAGACCCACGTCAGCCATTTCTTTTATTCCAGAAATTGTGTCCGCAGAAAATTTGTTTAATTCTGCCGGTTTAGTATTCCCTCCGTAGATACCTATCATGAACACGTCACTAAACCTAGGGGCAATGAACCGTCCTAGTATAGGCCACAACTGTTGATTGGAGCTTCTAGACATAGAAGGTTCATCCACAATAATATATAAATTTAGAGTGTCAAAATCAAAAGTACACACCCAAAGTTCAACGTATCTTAGCAGATCGGTTTTCAATCCTAGATGGTAGTAAACCCCACTGACGATGAACTTTGGTTGTACACTTGTGCACGTCCTCAGGACACTTCGGATGCTTTTCGGTAAGTCCGGTATAAAAAATCGGAAACAATACAGAACCCAATCAACATCTCTTATGCTCAGAGATGTATTTGACATTATATACATCACAACGTCGTTCATCAGGTCTTTGAGATTGACGAACTTCTGAGAGAACAAGTTCACTTCATTACATCCTATAAGAAATATATTCACGTATGAACTTCATGTACATGCCACTATTATCTAAAAGCATTTGATTGGTGTTGCTAGCGGGTGGTGTTACAGTTGAAGTACTGTCATTACAAGTGGTTTCTGTCTTTACTTCTATTAATTTAATAAAAAACACTTTTTAGGGTGCTTTCATTAGCAAACTCACTGAACGAAAGAAAGTCATATTTTTTCATGAAAGCGGCTCGCATTTTATTCCATCTTCGATTATAAGTGGATCTATGACAGCCAAGGGAACGTAACCAAGTTCACAGTGGCCCTACGTCTACGAACATTCTCACTGACTTCAGTGAAACTCATAGTACTGGACTAGGAAGGCAATTAGTTATAATGAACATGAACATCTGAGAGCACGTCACTCACCTGCATCACGTAAGTTATTTGTGATGGCTCCCTAGCATGTCGGAACACTTTAGCTAAACAAAAAACGAAGCCAGTGTATATGCGTATCAACCGAATGCCTGGTTCCGTATTTTGTACCTTGTTTTTATGACAATAGTTTTTTTATTTATTAAGCTGTGCCTTAATTTGTCGGCGTTTATGAAAACGTAAGTTTGGGTTGCGGTATATTCAAACACTGTACGTTAAGTATAATTATCAACAAATTCCCACCAAATACACGACGTAAGGGCGCGAACATCAATATTTCCCTTGAATAACCGACGTAAAGGCGAGAAAGCGATATTTCATCTTTATTTACGCTGTCGTCTGCTTTATTTTCCCTTTCTTGGTTGCTTGGGGGAGTCGGCGAGACTATATTTTATGGACGACCTTGAACGAACCTTTAAGTAACCCTGAGACTACTAGCCAACCAGAGAAGAGTTTGCATAAAGTAAAAATATATAATATAAAAACCAATAAATTGCAGCGGATATTCTTCATTTACATCAATTAAAAACTGGTTAAGGTTAGATAAAGGTCCAGATATCCTGAAATCATAGTGCATAGGGTTAGGATTTAGGGCCAAGGTGCACAAACCCAAGTCTATGGAGACATCTATACGCTTTCCAATCATCGGTATATATAGTACTGCCAGGCTGCACGTACTGTAACATCTGCAAAAAACGCAGCCAATGTTACTGGTGACTTTATAATCCAGTTTGCAACAACTATCATGATTTGCCTCAGCGTGAGTCGTGATCGAGCGAAGAAATTGCCAGTCCGAGCATTTTTTTCTCCAACATATATTATTATTATTATAAGAAGCTTTATTCAACATTATATTTTTGGTACAACATAGAATTCTCAGCATAAAGTATTTCAATAAGTTTCCTTTTCTTATACCTTGATCTATTGTGACGATAAATTTTGAATGATGACCGGTTAGATGTTAGGAGTTCGGTAATCCACATTTGATTAATGTTCATTCGTTTCAATGCATATTGCCAACCACCATGATGTCGCTGACTGTACCTTTTTGTATCACGTACAGCGAAAGGTTGTAAACTTTTCATAAACGCGCCTGAATAAACTGTGCGCACGATAGACATAATGATATGCTAAAACACAACAAAACAGATAACTTGATGAAATACCTAGATCGGAGGAACAGGTAGCACAGATAGTCAAGCAGGCCGCCTGAGGCCTCCGAACAACGAAACACAATCTCGTCACGATAGTCTACACATCGTACTGCAGTCATTTGATTGCCGCAACCACAGATACAGGAACTTCTTAATAGTTCTGTCTGTTGTAGTCGCTCAACAATCACGTCTTCTGTAAAATATGCTGTAAAACAACCGTATGTGAGCTTCACTTATTGAACTTAGCGCCATGACCTTGAAATTCCTAAAACTTTTCTGATTAGTTCGTCCATAAATTATAGTGTCGGCGGTGAGTCAAAGAACTATGTACATATTTACATACATAGTATTATAATGTAAATAGTTATAATGATTTCAATCGTGTGGAGTGTTTACGGAATTCTATTCAAGTTCGTAGCAATTCTCTGAAGTGAGTTGATTTTTATACCAAAACCTGATGTTCAATTAAATTTTATCTCTTGGGAGTACTAGTAATTTGCAACATAATAGCTTTTACATTATATTGGGTCGTTTGAGTTTGTGTCCTTTTGCTTTTAGTGATAAACCTCGCGATAAAAACCAACGTGGTTAATAATTAAGTACTTAATTGTGGTAGTTGGATTGAGTGATTTGGCGACATACGTCCGGGGAGATGTAGACAATCCAGTGACAGTAAGGGAAATTGTCGCACTATTTCCTCATGCAGACGGAAAAAAAACTTTATAGCGCGTTTCCCTTTTACTTTCCCCTTGTTTACGTCTAGTTTCCCTTTTTGGTAGCTTTCGTTGTTAAATGTTTGTTTAATGGTGTTCAAAGTGGACTCAGTCACCGGCTTTTAAGACCGTTGTTACTTATCCGGTAGTTTTACCTGCTTTTAGTAATCGATGGTAGTGTCGATTAACATGAGGGTATATGTCATCGACTTTACCGTTCGCGTTCGGCTAGTTAAATTTATTGGGACGTTCGAGATTAACCTCAAATGTCGAATAGTTTTTGGGCTGCTTTTTCTTCATAAACTATTCTTCACTACGATAAAAATCAAATATTTCTTGCCAACAAAGCCTAGAATATATCCGTAAAATGGTTGCAAATGGATGTTTACGAATAGTCATAAAAATGTTAACGTCCTACAACCGTTTTGGGGAACTTTCTGTACCTGTAGCGCAGCAAAGATATCTGTTTACTAACTAAACATCGAGTACTGTTCACATGTTTCCTCTTTTTGTTTACTCCTGACCTTTGGTAGCAGAGATCACTTGTAATAAACAAATATTTAGCTATAAATTTCTTCAGGTAGTTGTTCTTGCCGATTATAGCTATGAAATAATTAGTAGGTATATCGTAGGTAAATCAGTGTGGAAGGTTGATAATTTTGTGTAAAAGGCAAACATTTATCAGCTTAGACTCAAGCTAAACAGTTACTGCATATATATCAGTCAAGTATTGGTTAATAAACAGGAAAATGTATTTTATTACGGTTTTTACGTACTCCTTAGGTGTTCACACATTTTTATAGTTTGGCCAGTATAATTTATTGGATACACAGTTCTAGGTCAGTATATGCAAAATCTTTAGTTTATTTTCATCCGACAATTGTTGCCATTCTGTTTTGTTACAACAATTGTTTACTTTGATAAGTCCATTACTGGTTTATCTTTTTTAGATGAATGAAGCTTCTTTGTTCAAACAGTCAGTAATTCAACTGCTAATAGGTCATTACAATAAAGTATATATGTATGAAAATTTTAGTGAGGGGCTCAAAGTTATAAAGTATAATAATTGTTAAGGCCGGTAAAATCCCACGTAGCCATAGCCAAGTCAGCTGTGAAGCTAAATATTTTCTACATTATACGACAATTCACTAAGCATTGGAGTGTCGAATATTGTCAAGGTCAAGGGTAACTAGCGCAAACGACTTAGGTACACACCATAGACTAGCTTATGCAACCGTGTCTCTAATATACGTTTCTCTACTTTTCCATAATACATTTCCTTAGTATGGTCATGTTTGTTCTATACAGACATCAATATAGCCGTAGGTCTTGGGTATTACAAAAGAGTAATCTGTATTAGGTTACTAACCATGAGGTATAAATTCTATGTAAGCTTGGGGGTTGCACCATTCCCTACCCACTCGAATGAACTCTGGTCATCTACATGTACTCCAATTCGTGGTCTGTTAGTGACGACGTAAAGCAATCGGTACTGGCAACTATAAGTCCTAGTATTTATTTGCTTATAAAAAAACGGGTAAACTCGAACTTTTATGACCGTTGAACTTTGACAATAAAATTCCATGGTTAGAATATAATCCCCAAGTGCCCTGGTACGGCCGATGCTGGGTAGTTTTCTCCCTCTCTAAATGCTCTCACATGACCACGTGTATACAGCCACTGCCAGGGAAATTCTACTCACTACTTCTCGCGGTGAGAGTGTTGTTTACGAAATTAAAAGGTCGAAAAGCGGATCTCAAGTGCTTTAACCAGGTTAGTGGACATGGAGGATCCACCAAGAGGAGATGGAAAACCTTGATTCCAAACCAGTAGTGCACATAGGCCCCAGGATCCTGAGGGAACAAATGGTGTTTGAACCTATTGTTGGTGATCGGCTACCATAAGACTGCATCTCCTAACGTCGTTCTAGTGCCTTGCGGATTGAACCTCTAGGTGAAAGGCTCAAGGAGTGGCCTAAGAAAACCACCTGCTTCGATTTGGGCACCCGGGCAGTATCCTAACCCTCACACAAATCGGATGATAATGTGGTGCATATATATTTGGTTCCCCCTTGCACTCATATTTTTCCGTTTAAACAAACCAATAATCACTATAAAAATGGTAAATTGTCCGATAATTTCTTGCGAAAACCCTAACTTACTTATCTCTTTGTTTTCTCTCGATTTTTCAGCTCTATTTGTGCACTTTCTTTCTGGAATAATGAAAACTACATTTTTCTCTGACCACATTTACATTTTAAAATGTTTAATTCGTTTATACATGCCAGAGATAATGATGATTAACCTAAGCAGAAATTTATCATCACCCCAATCTATTTATCAATGTATTGATTGGTTTTTATATTTTATATCAACCATTTACACAATTTTTATATTAGGACCAATTTTAAATTGTTTCTCGTTATATCTTGGTGGTCGGAAAAATTTCGGCCGAACACTAGTCGCATTAGTATTAACTTATTTATGCTTGATTCTATGTTTATTGTATACAGTTTTGATACCACGTCGTCTTTTCATTTTGAATTCATGTTATTTATATAGTGGATATAATTCGATCAAGTGTAGTTTACGTACTGAGGGTACATGGTTTTCGTTACATTTTACATTAAGTCATCTAATCATCGTCAATATTTATTTCCATTATTTATCTGCTGTTTTCATTAATCCCGGCAATGTACCACGAATTCCATATAATACTACTAGTACTATGTGTTCACGATGTTTTGTATCACGTCCAATAAGAGCACATCATTGTGCTATATGTAAAACATGTATATTATGTATGGATCATCATTGTCCATGGACAGCTAATTGTATTGGTTTGTATACACATCGCCATTTTTATTTAGTATTGATATTTATGAGTATTGGTGGGATATATTTGCTAACTGTTGGTTGGTCAGACTTTCGAAGCTACTTAGTGGAAATTAATGAAAATCAAGTAAGTGTGACTAGTATGAAGTGGAAAAAGTATTTATTTGAAAATTCTTCTAGTACATTGTCAAAATTGGATGGTGGGATGTATATTATAATAATTAGTTGGTCGTAAAAGATCAAATGGTTTTTAATATTTGTCTCACTAAAATCAATCCAAAATTTAAACGTTAGTATTCAGCAATCTCCACAAACCCTTTGTGGTGTGATTAGCTTTTGGTTGAGCCTGTATTTGAGAAGGTGTGTACCTGTTGTTCGTACAGTAAAACGACAGAATAGACAACAATATCGTTAGGCACATAATACTGGTTCAAGGTGCTCACTCAACTGAGGAAATAGTAATTACTTGTCAACTGTGCTGGGTGGATATGTCACGTATTTTGAGCTACTGTCTACTCTGAGTTACTTGGGAAAAGGCTTGCGATGACCTGATAAAAATACGGGGTCAATTAGAAAAATCGCCGAGACTATAATTTATGGACGACCTTTGAACGAGTTTTAAGTAACCTTGAGAAATATTAACCAATCAGAAAAGTTAGTATAGAGTAAAATATACTATACAAACGATGCACATAACGAAGTCTATAAAGACATCTGTGCGCTCTCCAATCCTCCGTATATATTGTAGTACCTGGCTTCAGTCAGTGTTACTGGTGCTTTTATTATTCAGTTCGCGACAATTGTCATAATTTACCTTAGTTTAAATCTGGATCGAGCGAAAAAATCCTATTCTAACAGACTTCTTCCTCCAACACATTACATCGAAAGACAACATCATCGCGGTAGGCCGCACAAGTCATTTGATTACCACAATCACGAACAAAGGGATTTCTTAGTAGTCCCATTTGTTGTAGGCGCTCAATTATCACGCTTTCTCTAAAATCTGCTATGAACCGACCGTATTTGAGCATCAGGTACTAAAATTGGTGCCGTGACCTTGAATTCCCTCAAACGCTTCTGATCGGCTCGTCCATAAATTATAGTCTCGCCATTGGAAACTTTAAATATCATTATTAAAAGTAAGTAAAGGAATTGCTCATACTTCCACTTTTTCTTAATGGAATTATTCCGAAACTTTCATCTTACGACTTTATTCATTTTTATTCAAGTTAGGTCTCCTATTACTAAGGGTTTTTATTTAGCATCTGCTGATATCCAGCTACAGAAAAATTCAAACTGTTACCAATAATGTCTTCCTACTGAATAATTATTTGACCCCAGTAGCTTAGTGAATAATACATCAATGTTTAAGGCGAAAGGTCCTGGATTTATGTTAGCGGGACATAGACTGGATTAAAGCATGCTCAATGCACGATTGCTTTGGTGCACGCTGATTGGATAATAATTAGCCAATCAGCGTTAGTCAGTACTTAGTGAACACTAGAAATCTCATGTGAAAAACTATAAATATACTAACGTTTTCCCTATTGTGCTTCCTACTTCCATCTAACCTTGTTATTTGGAATATAATCTCTTTCCTGTTCAATCGTGTTCTGATTTGGCGACTTGTCGAGTGAATCAGTATCCAAAAATACTAAGCAATAGGAATAGCTGGGTTATAACCGTAAGAGAGAATTATAACAATTTAAGTATCAGTGTGATAACTTGAGCCGATATAGGTCTGTCCCAGATCTTATGTTTTCTTTATCTATTTGGTTATACTCCCTCAATTGTACTTGGTTCAACAACTCATATTTATTGAGATCTTTTCCTACCATTTAATAGTGCCGATAGAGTTAAGATTAAATTTTAAAAACATAAGCTATAGTTTCCTGATTACGTATATTTTAATTGGATACGATAAACATTGGTGATTGTTACACTGAATTTCTGAAAGTTATTTAATATAAGCCCTTGGTATTTTGATGCTGGGTTACACTATATTCTATATCATCACTATATATCCACGGATTGATGTACCATTAGACCTATAACTTTTGTACTTGTTAACAAAAAGTTTACTATTTAAGCAGTTTGTCGAGATTCAATAATTTATGTTCTATGTGGTTATCATCTTATTATATTTGTGGATAGTCCTTTACACTTCCAACTTGGTTTTCATAAAAAATCACAACTCATTAAATTGCTGTAGAATAATAATAATATTCTAGCCGTTTATCAGAAATGTGTTGTATTACATTCAGATGTTTATTTTTAATTTTTAGATCAATATCACTGTAAAGTATTCATCGATTTGGTTCAACTATAACACATATTTACCATCGAATAAATTCTTCATTCCATTGTTCAAAGGATGTTTCATTTTCAGTGTAATTGCAGTTCCTTTAGTAATTGCTCTATGCACTTGGCATACATATTTAATTAGTAATGGTGAGACAAGTATTGAACGACATATTAATGCAAAATTCACAAAAATATTAAAACAACGTGGAGTGATTTATCGTAATCCGCATGATTTTGGTATATTTTTAAATTGGATAAAATTTCTATGCCTTATTGATAAGCATGAAATGGCTAATTATCATGTCAAGAAAAAATCATTTCGTTTATATTTTGTACTTTGTAAAAGGTTTTTTAATCGTATTCTATTACCTTCCTATCATAAACCTTATGATGATGGTTTTAACTATGAATTAAGTTTGAATACTGCTGAGTCAGTTTTAGAATCTTTATCAGAGTCTGGAATGTTTTAATGTACTTTTCGTCTTTGTAATTCTTAGGTCTTGTTTCGCCTCTTTTTAAAACTCTATATTTCTCTTTGTTTTCTATTTCGTGGTATATTACTTATTACTGTTCAAGCAGTATAAGTGTATACGTTGTCGTTACGGGCAGTATTTGTGAAAAATAATGTATTCTGTCAGTTTATGTTCCATTTGCTTTTACTTCGCGACAGCAGTATAGGGTGTTGTGTCGAGTGCATTCTACGCCTTGTCAGTAACGGAGAGCTACGTTACAGGATATTATTGTTAACAACTCATAAACTCCAACAAGTCACACATTATGTTCACTAAAGTTGATCTAAGTCATCTGTAATGTAATATACTATTTTCAACGGAGTAACGCGTTGAAGGTTACCAAATCCTCTGTTATCTGAGAAACATCTTGTAATCTCGACCACCGTCAGATGTTGAACATTAAAACGTTGAGTGATAAAAAATCTCCAGCTATTGAATGCCGTTGTACGTGATGAGATTTGAAAAGCAGATGTATTAGGTAACCCTTAAAAAAAATCTTGCTCGCAAATGTAAAAGGTATTAAACAGTTAGCTATTAATTAGATTATTTTAGAAAAAGACGAGACAGTGATTCACTCACAATTCATTAAAGCCAGAACGGATAGAACACTTGCAGAAATAGTTAAATCTCCCTCCAGCTACTCTCGTGTTACCCAATATTTCCAAACAATCGGAATGGGAAATCGATACAAATTTAGAAATACCATATTTAATCTCAAGCGTGGGTGAGCTAAATGATCTGATGAATTAACCCCGAAGATGGCGACATAGTTTTAGTAGTTCATTTGACTAAAAATTAAGTTTGGAAGCTGGACATTATCTAGCCTAACTGGTCTCAATTTTTGATCGTAAAATATGTAGGAATCTTTTTGTAATCCTCACAAACGAATTAGTTTGACCAATACAATACCCAAAATATCAACCTTCGTAGTCGCTGAACGTATGAACATAGATTATAAATAGCGAATATGAGAAAAACAGGCCGATCGTAGACCTGATCTTGAGTTTATTGATCAAGTTATTACATTCTGGTAAGCTTTAAAACATGTGGAAATCGATGCTCGATGATAACCATATTACTTGACCTTAAACCAGCATTCGATTCCGTTGATAGAGAGGTTGTGTCGCAACATATTCCACGGAAATGTGCACTGAGAAAGTAGGATAAGTTTCCGACGCTTCATTTTTTTGGAAACTTATGTTCGAATCAGAGTTTCTAATTAACTAACATCCTAAATGGTAACCCCAACTGGCGCTCGTAAGGGCGACCCATTGTTCTTAGTTTTGCCTAATTTCGTTGAATATATTCCTTTAGGAATGATACTTAATTTATCTAATTATACACACACAAATGAGTCATATTCAGTGAATAGGCTTACAAAATATAGGATATTTTGGACACCTTAGAGCAACCATAGCAAAGATATAACGAAAAATTACTTCCTCATTCCCCTCACTTTCTAAAATTCTATATATATCGTTGTTCCGGTTCTTCTCATTCCCAACGTCCCTTACCTCATATTGTGTTATATTTCAATGTTACAGTTTAATATTAATCTACTTGTAAGCGGTTGAAGAGAAACTACAAAATACAATATGTTCATACTATCCTGACTCAGTTGTTGTTTTGACTTTATTCAAAGGAGTAAAAATATGAAATAAGACTGTCCCAATTCGAAACAAACGTGGATTTAAAATAAGACTAGCATTGTTTGGAGCCGTCTACTGGACAAACGACGAATAATACTGTTTGTAATTTGTTTAGTCAAGATCAGTTCACTATGTTAACCATAATGATAGGATCGGTTGGCGAATAGAAACAATCATGAGACACACTTGTTTACAAACGAGACCGAAGGTCCTTGATTTGAGTCCTGCGTGCGGGATCGTTGATGCGCACTGCTGAATAACCCTATGCTACTAGAACGAGACGGCTGTCCAGCACTTCCAGGTTTTCAGCAATGGTCTAGCTTAGATCGGTTCATTATTTAAACTGTGTAAAAAGTTCATACCTTTGTTAGAATTGTGTCCATAGTAGGTTTGAGATGATTAACAATGTTTGTAGCTCAGGATGAGGATACTGAATGTGTTTTTTTTTCTGAGCATCTCAGAGACCAACAAAGACGATTTCTTCTGAATTCACTTAATCAATAATCATCTGAACAGGTAATTAGCGATCACAAAATACAACATGCTACCCACGTTCGGAGTTTTCATAAATATAGGTTTTAAATTGTGACCAAATGGCTTCATTGAGACGGTTCGCTTAGTTCAGTTAACGCTCAACACCAACGACAGGCAAATACAAACGACTTGATTACTTCTACTGTTTTTCTTCTGGTATCAGCTTTTGTTGACAATTTATCTTGAATTTAGAAATACAGAATGCCTTGTATTAATTAGTAGAATAATGTGCCACATTTTGAATACCATTAGACTTAACATGATAATTATTGGTATATTTTTCCGAATATCCTAACACACCCCTTCATCCATTGCCTGAGGTGGACAACCGTCTCACACACCTTACTTTCTAAAATTCTATATATATCGTTGTTCCGGTTCTTCTCATTCCCAACGTCCCTTACCTCATATTGTGTTATATTTCAATGTTACAGTTTAATATTAATCTACTTGTAAGCGGTTGAAGAGAAACTACAAAATACAATATGTTCATACTATCCTGACTCAGTTGTTGTTTTGACTTTATTCAAAGGAGTAAAAATATGAAATAAGACTGTCCCAATTCGAAACAAACGTGGATTTAAAATAAGACTAGCATTGTTTGGAGCCGTCTACTGGACAAACGACGAATAATACTGTTTGTAATTTGTTTAGTCAAGATCAGTTCACTATGTTAACCATAATGATAGGATCGGTTGGCGAATAGAAACAATCATGAAACACACCTGTCAACCATTTTGTTAGGTTTGAAGCTTCACGAGTTCACTTAATCTGCGAACGAGAACAAGACTCAGTGACCAAAGACCAGTAATCTAGCTATTGACGCGTTCCAGCCCCGTTATCTAGAAAACGAGCGAGCACCAAACACAATTTAAAACGTATATATACAAATATATATCGATATTGCCCTGGAGCTTTTAAACATTTAACCGATAAGTTCGTCAATTGATTGCCATTGATATATTTAAACATTTAATCGATAAGTTTATCAATCAACTATGTGCGTGGGTGGTAAGGAACGCCCACGCATACATCTGCATACAAGCTCCACAAAGACGAAGTTACAAACTATGAGTTTTCGGGATATATCGTCCCCAACACATTTCAATTACTATTAAACAATCACTTATGAAACTGCACTATTTGTATATCAAGATTATGAATGTATTTTAAGAATGACAAATTCCTTCACAGCGATATATATATATATATATATATATATAACTACAATTCAAAATTGCGTAATATAATTAAGTTCGTAAAAATATAAAACAGTAGTTCAACCACTTTCTTCCGTCAATAAGAAATGAATTTTTCTAAGTTAAGCAAGAAGAAAAATTCGCATAATTCGTTGACTTTACGAAAAGAAAAGGCGGAACAAATGAAAAGAGAGTAAAATGCATTCGACTACTTAGTCAGGGTTGGCATCTGTCATTATTACTTTTATTAATAGTAGTATTTACAACGATTAAGATACACAGTGTTCCAATGTTTTGTCTTTTTTTTCATTTTAAAAGTAATTTATATTTATAATGTCTCTCATTCAGAATATCATTACTAGAATCATCACAAAAATCATCATCATCATCGTCTTCTACAATCTCGCCTTCTTCCTCCTCATCTTTTTCGTTTATATTGTCTTCGACGTCATCATTGTCCTTGTTATTTAATACAACAAACAATTCGTTCCCTTTTTCTATGTCTTCCACCGCGTTCAGTTGTTCTGTTTTACTGTCGATCATTGCAATATCATCTTCCTCATTATTATTAGTTGAAGTTGACGTCTGTGATGATAGATATATTGAAGGAGAAGTGCCATATCTTGATGTTGATGATACGGCGGAGAGATATGATGTTTTTTCATTTGTACATGCATTTTGATTAGGAATGTTTTTGTCAAAACAACGACGTTTAGTACTTCTATACAATAATAATTCTTCTCCATTGATATCATTGTTATGGTTTGATAGAAATGATCGTTTCATTGTTTGGTTTTCACTATTATTTCTAGGAGTAATTTTATTATTATTATTATTATTATTATTATTATTATTATTATTATTATTATTATTATTATTATTATTATTATTATTCGTAGTAGTATTTGAAGTCAAGGTGGACATAACTGTTGTAGATGTAGGTTTATCTGAAATAAAATATTCCACTAATTGTTCATCCCAATTTTGTACTTGATCCAATATTTTATTAATATAAGGTTGTTTATATCGTTTTGAAATAACTGAACGTTGAAAATCCAATTGACGAAATGTATCTGTTGAAAATTTTAAGAAAATTTCGAAATAGTGTTCAATGTTTAATGAATTTAGTTTGTCATTTATTCAAATAAAAAAGAGCCTAGCTCATAAACGCATTGGTCCAGATTGTTCTGCATTATACAATCAGCACAACAAGATGAATGCTGAAGCAATCGAACTATCTGCATCAGTAATGGTAAAAAAAGATTACACAAATAGAATATGCTTCGAGAGGAAAGAATCAATCTCTAGTATCGAGAAAAAATATGAAATGTTGAAATTCAGGATCTAACGGGAGAAAAATAGTAAATAATCGAGCTTTACTGAGGTCGATTTTAAGTCATCTCACAATATTTTCAACTATTGGTCACGACAAGCGAAAGAACTCCGACCAGGTGGTTGGCACCTGCAAGCACGGTTTAGTTAAACAGTCAATGATTTCATGAATTGATGCTATGTTTTGGCTTGCTAGCTTCTTTCTTTCCTGAAACTTGCTCTAGTAGCCCAGTCAACATCGTGTATCAAGGTAAAGGGTAATTGGGCATGCACAACTCGTGTTACAATGACTTCACTTGGTGAGGATTTGGCATTTTATGAACCAATTTATCATTTCTGTTCAGTACCCTGGGTTCAATCTGGAAATTGATAACTCAGTGGTCACAACTTAAATATTCAAATTAGAGATTCGTACAGATTGGTTTGTTTGAAGATAGTTTCCCAAGTCAAAATGTAGTTTAATAGAAACAATCACTAATTAGGTATTCCCTGGTGATTAACTTTGGGACGAATTCATTAGAGTTTTAATGAGAAATTGTGATTACCTACTTACCACGAACAGATTCGTGCACTCAGCTATTGATACTACTCGGTTATCAAGACCGAAGTAAGCTGAGAAGGACTTGGTTCTGTGAATTATGGGCTGAAATTCCAACGCTTTTAGCAATAAACCATGTACCCTCTATCACACCAACAGGTTCTGGACACAACCACTGGCGAAGTAGTAGTGAGAACACTAAAATGAAACAGACTCAGTGCTCTCTAATTTTCAATGGTTTATCAAGTGACATCAATTTCCTTATTATAATTGTCTTCAAACAATATACTTAAATGGTTCATTGATTAAAACGCTCAACTTGCGACCACTAAGTTGCAGGATTAAACCCGGCTTCATATACTTTGGTCTACAGAAATAGTTGGTACCACTATTCCTGCACCATTAAAGTGTAGCTTGAAGCCAGGTACGCGGTTCCGTATCTGGTAAATTCGTGAGTAGCTCCAATATGGATGTTCTAAAACTTTAGTAAGATACCGTGACATAAGGATGATGATTTCATTACACAACCTAAGAGTTCACCGGAGTCAGATACTTGATTTTCCATGGAAAATGTTCCGCGTTTCGCTATAATCCTGTCCATAAAAGGTTTTCCTGAATTCTTTGCTTGAATAACCACTGTAACAGTTGACTGGCGATCATAAAGCCAAAGAGACTGTGTTATATCCTAGCGAAGATTAAATTACGAGTAACTTCTGAGACATTTTAATGGACTAATATTATCTACATATTCTTATGGCATAACTATTTAGTAATTAGATTGTGTACATTTATATTCCCTTTATTACAAGCTTCATTTTGACCTATAGATTATTAATGTACGATTTACTGTTCTTAAATTATACCCAGTTTATTATTTAGTTTCCCACAATCACAGCCACATTTTGGCTTTATTGTGTATGAATGTTATTTCCTATTTTATGGTGCGTTGCGGTCTGTTTGGTTGATTTATAAACCCAATATGTCTGAAATAAATGGTTCGCGTAGTGGAGGCTGTTGTTGGCATTCTGGACTCAGCCGGACGGGCTAGCCGGGCAACGGACCAATAGGGCGCTAGGCTGATCAGACCGAACAAACGTCATTGATTTAGTACACTACAAGGGCAAATAAGTCGTATTTTGATTGGAGAATAAATTACGTGATAACTAGCGGGTCATAAAAACACAACAAATTGGCGACGGGGATTTCGCGAAAAAGAAAACAGACTGTATATATTCAAAGTCCCCATCAAGACAGGAGGTTAATAGTAGCTGTGGTTTCATACCATTTTTTAGTTCTTATAGTGGTTACTAAAACGTCTAGCCTATTTGAAAAAAATAGATTATTACACTGTTATCTCCGTTAACAGCTAACAACATTTCATGGTTTTCTTGAACGTTTTACTCAAGTTTCAGCAAAACTTTAAAAACTCAATTCGTGTATTCTATTTACAAAATGTGTAAAATACAAAAATTCATCAAAACAACTTGGAAACTGGTTTCACAAGCGAATGTTCGCGCAACAGACATCAACATTATATGATATATATTTAAACAGACGACTACTACTAATACTCACCTTGATGTAATTCCAATGCCTTTTTAGCTGCTTCCATTTGAGCTTGTTGAACAGACCGACCTTCACCAGTTGCTAATCGTTGACCACGAAAATAAACACCAACACGATAAACACGTTGGTTAGTTGGCCCACTATGTTCTAAAACCTGATAAAGATAACAACATAACATAAGAGAATAATAAGTTATTCAAAATGTGGCACATTATTCTACTAATTAATACAAGGCATTCTGTATTTCTAAATTCAAGATAAATTGTCAACAAAAGCTGATACCAGAAGAAAAACAGTAGAAGTAATCAAGTCGTTTGTATTTGCCTGTCGTTGGTGTTGAGCGTTAACTGAACTAAGCGAACCGTCTCAATGAAGCCATTTGGTCACAATTTAAAACCTATATTTATGAAAACTCCGAACGTGGGTAGCATGTTGTATTTTGTGATCGCTAATTACCTGTTCAGATGATTATTGATTAAGTGAATTCAGAAGAAATCGTCTTTGTTGGTCTCTGAGATGCTCAGAAAAAAAAACACATTCAGTATCCTCATCCTGAGCTACAAACATTGTTAATCATCTCAAACCTACTATGGACACAATTCTAACAAAGGTATGAACTTTTTACACAGTTTAAATAATGAACCGATCTAAGCTAGACCATTGCTGAAAACCTGGAAGTGCTGGACAGCCGTCTCGTTCTAGTAGCATAGGGTTATTCAGCAGTGCGCATCAACGATCCCGCACGCAGGACTCAAATCAAGGACCTTCGGTCTCGTTTGTAAACAAGTGTGTCTCATGATTGTTTCTATTCGCCAACCGATCCTATCATTATGGTTAACATAGTGAACTGATCTTGACTAAACAAATTACAAACAGTATTATTCGTCGTTTGTCCAGTAGACGGCTCCAAACAATGCTAGTCTTATTTTAAATCCACGTTTGTTTCGAATTGGGACAGTCTTATTTCATATTTTTACTCCTTTGAATAAAGTCAAAACAACAACTGAGTCAGGATAGTATGAACATATTGTATTTTGTAGTTTCTCTTCAACCGCTTACAAGTAGATTAATATTAAACTGTAACATTGAAATATAACACAATATGAGGTAAGGGACGTTGGGAATGAGAAGAACCGGAACAACGATATATATAGAATTTTAGAAAGTAAGGTGTGTGAGACGGTTGTCCACCTCAGGCAATGGATGAAGGGGTGTGTTAGGATATTCGGAAAAATATACCAATAATTATCATGTTAAGTCTAATGGTGTCCTTGGACTTTAAATGGGCATTCCCTATTGGTCAATACTTATTTCACTTGTTAAATATTGTACAAATGTTGTTTTCTATTTTATGGTACGATGTGGTCTGGTTGATTGGTATATAAACAGAGTATGTTTGAAATATAACGATTCATATCTCAGAGGCTGAGACTTGTGTTCTGGACTCAAATGTCTGGGCTAGACAGCGAAGCATGGCCAATCGGGACTCTAGGTCGTTCCTTGCGTGTTTACGTGTCATTGATCCGATCCATAATACGCTGCGCATCTAATCTGCAGTTACACGTTACAACAGGGTGAGAAGGATTATGTTTTTAATGAAGTTAGACATGAACATTGTTGGATGCCGATTGAGTGGTCTAAATGTTAAGCGTTCATAAACGAGACCGAATGTCCTTGGTTCGAGTCCTGCGTGAGGGATCGTGGGTGCTCACCGCCGAGTAGCAGTATACTACTAGAAAGAAACAACTGTCCAGCATTTTCAGGTTTCCAATGGTTTTCTAGCTTAGATTGGTTCGTTATTTCAACTGTGCGAATACTACAATCTCCACAAATCCTCATACCGATAAAATATGATTTGACAAAATAACAGAAAAGCTAGGGTTCTCGTTATTCCCAGGGATATTTTGAGCAATCAAAGCGCAGATGAAACAAGTGTATAATCACAAATGGAAATAAAAATTTTATAACATTAGTTTGTTTTAATTTAATGGAGTACGGTAGTAAAACGGAAAGGGGAGTTTTCGTTTGAAAACTAACTTTATAATGTGCGATTTCTGGATCTTCATTTAATGAACGAAATGTGAGACAACATTGTTGTAATTTTGATTTGGCATCATTCCATTCTTGTTTTAAAATAAACTCAACAAGACGTGGCCAAAAACATATTTGACAAAAACGTTCAACCCATGTTAAATCTTTATCGACAAATAATGCACCAATAAATGCTAAAGCGAAAATTTTAAAAATATGACGAGGAAAAACAGAGAAACAGTGGTATTATGTAATGGGCGTTTTTTAAACGTTATGAATTAAAATTGTTATATTACTATAGATATATGGCACAATAGTTATTTGATAATCTGTCAGTCAGATAGACAGTAAGTAGATAAAGTGTGCGTCGGTTCATCTGCATTTCACATCAATAAGCGAGATGATAAGATGAAAAAAGAAAAAGTCAAAGAAACACTAATAACATCAAAATAATTCAGTTCATGACATTAAACCTCAAATTCAACACCTTACAATAACAACCACCATATACTGAACAGTCGTTGATTTCAAAAGATAATTTCCGGAATTCTGCTGGGAGGCCTTTAGTGGCCCGTAATTTAATTTTGTCCTCATTTAGATCGGACGATGTTCGTTGAAGGGCTCACCATTTTAGTGGCCCGTGGATCTGACTCCTATTTATATCGTATAAATGTTTGTTATCGCCTTTTCTCGTATATCATCGTCGACTTAAATCACGTTGGTCAATAACGAAATTAAATAAGTCAAATAACGACAATTGACCTGTGCATACATATATTTTGTATATGAAGCGAATGAAACAGAGCAAAGCAAAATGACACGCAGGGAAGATGGCTGGTAAGCCAACTCCATTTTAGTCAAGCGTTACGCAATATTTATAGTCAGACAAAATAAAGCTACAGACATGTGATTAATGGGATAAGAAGGGCACACACATATACCCTCATATAAAAACAGTCTAGATTGATAAGCGAATAAATAACAAGGTCAAAGTATGGCTCAAGTAGAATGAATAGAATAGGATGTCCGAAAGCTAGAATAAGATATATGGGCTTAGCATAATAACTGACACTACAGGCCGTAATTAGTACAATCATTTGGAGGCCCTATATATGACTCCATTTGGATCGTTTCTGATTGTTATCAAATAATTGCTGTCGAAATATACATCCTGACTATTCTCGTATATTATCATCGACTTAAATCACGTTGGTGAACAGCGGAATTAAATAAGTCAAATACGAGAATGAATTTCGAATACGTATATTTCATACAATCGATGATCTAGACAAAAGACTAGAGAAGCGAAGAGAATAAAGCGAAGCGAAATAACGCATAGTGGAGATGGTGTGTGAGGCAACTCAATTTAGTCAAGCGTTAATCAATATTTATGGTCAGACTAAAATAAGTTACAGATATGTGATGAATAGGATAAGAGGTGCACACACACACTCATATAAAAAGAGCCAAGGATGATAAGCGAATAATTGACGTCAAAATGTGACTCGAGAAGAACAAATTAGTTTGTCCAGAAACTAGAATAAGGTGTGTGGGCTTAACATAGCAACCGACACTACAGTTCAACGATATCGGATATGTGATAAATGTCAGGAATTGATAATAGTCGTACAGTATTGTGAATTAATAGTTGGTGGCTTAAACTATTGTATGCGCTGACTTAATGGTCTGAAAGTTAGCTGGTTGGTGTGAGACTTGGAGGCCCTAAGTTCGATACTCTGTGGAGTTGTCAATTAGCAAAGCTTAGATTCCAGTAGACTAGAACAAAGCAACTATTCAGTACTATCTGGTTTTTAACAGTTATGTAACGGACGTTAGTTTGCAATGTGAGGCTTTAAATAAGGCAATTTTAACGTCGTGTAATGGAGGCACCAAATAGATATGCGCCACATAAATCATTCGATTTGTGTGAGGGCTGTGATACTGCTCGGGTGCCCAGACCGAATCAGGTGGTTTTCTTAGGGTGCCGCACCCCGAGCCTTTGACCTGAAGGTCTGACCCACAAGGCAGTGGAGCGTCATGAGGAGATGCAGCCCCCATGGTAGCCGGTGACCAATGATTGGTTCACACGCCATTTATTTCCACGGGATACTGTAGCCTATGTGCACCATTGGTTTGGAATCCGGTTAAAGCGCCGGACATTCGCTTTTCGTTCTCTCAATTTCGTAAACAACACCCCCGCCACGAGAAGGCAGTGAGTAGGACTTCCCTGTCAGAGGCTGTATACGCGTGGCCGTGTGAGAGCATTTGGAGAGGGAGGGCGGGCCCACCCCACTCTCGGCCATACCGGGGCCGTGTCAAATTATAATAACACATTATTTCATTCAAACAACACTTGATTCATTGATATTATGGAGTCATAAACTTACAACAACATTACATACAGTCACCGTTATGTATTAAAATTGATATAAACTTACAATTTTCAGTCAAGTTAATTGTATACGACACTAAAAATGACTAATCAAATTGTAGTTATAAACGCTCAAACATTTTAATTCAGTCTGAACATCTGAAAATAAATATACGTACATTAGCATCTATATAATATTCGCCGCGAATTAGCTTCATTCTGAGAAACACTGTCTAACAGGATGGAATGTTTATTCTTTCTTAAATCTGAGACTTGTCAACACAATGAGCACCTACAATGTTAGAAGCCATCGCGTAACTCCTCAAAAAACTCTTCAGAAGTCAGTGAAAAAATTTACGAATATTTTGGACATTTCAAGATGATAGGACATGTCTAAGAAAGGATAATTGCTTACGTTTAGTATTAGAAGGAGTTTTGTGGATATTATAGTAATTTTAATGGTTGAGATCATGAGTCAATTTGATTAAACAATTATCACAAACTTGTTACCAATCTTGGCATTTTCCTCAAAACTTAGAACTTCAACATAATCCTATAAATAACTTTGTTTCCTGAATATAATTTTATCATTGGAATACAGTTTTCATATTTCTCGCCTAATTTTTTCCTAATTCCTTAAAGCCGAGTTCCTGATAAAACGATAGATTGTTTTGTTCGGTCATGTCAAGACTTCATACTTAAAATATTTGACCTTAAACCATTATGTGCTATACAGCTGGACTTCCCATTCTACCTAAAACTCAGTTTGAATAAACATTTACTACATATAAACAAAATATGCCATACCTCTTAGACTGAGTACATACATATTATACTTTGCAAATGAGGTTTGCAACAACAACAATGATGATGTTGATGGTATCAGTAAACATAATTCATAATCTCATAATTACCTTCCAATAAATCAGCTCTGTATTTTACATTTTGATTTTGTGGATTATTACAATTGCCATTTTTATTTCCATCTGAATTAATAACTTTTTGACCACCTTTTTTATTTTGTTTAGATTTGAGTATATTTGAATTTTGACTACTTATATAAGTAGTATTCCAAGACGGATTTGAATGTTTCGATATGTTATTATTAGTAGAATCATTGTTATTATTAATTTTGCAATCGTATTTATGCATACTATTATCTTCACGACGTATAACATAATTTTCTAAGCCTAACTCACTGCATACAGATGCCTGTGTATATTTATTCACTAGTGAATTTTTTAACAGTGATAAATGTCCTTCATGATGTCGTGGAAAATGTCGAAATAAATAATCTGTTGACACATATTTTAACAAAGAATCACCAAGAAATTCTAAACGTTGATTATCTCCCCTAAAAATCAATACAAATAAACAAAGTAGAAACAAATGAAAATAAGATATTTGGAAAATAAGTGAAGGATATTACATCATAAAATACCATTGACAGTTGAATAGAAAAATATATAAGCGAGAAATAGGAGAAAGAAAAACCTTTCCTTTCTGTTTTAGTCTGAAACTAATGAATTAACTAATTGTTTCTAATCATCTATTTTCAAAATGTGCAAACATTGCAATAAATTTTCAGATTTTAGGTTTGTTTTAAATTATTTGATAAACATCTAATGGACTCATCAAACGGTGTTTTAAATAGCTTACATACTATCACAAAGTTGGTTACTATAAATTTTTGCGAGACAACAATGGTGGTTGGAATTGTTTGGTGATAAAATCTGCATGATCATGGTCTTGTACTAGTCACACTTTAAACAGGTTAGTGATAACATTCCAGATTATGAATTTGGGTGGTATGAGTTCGAATCTCACAGGAAACATTGGTTCTCACAGGATTCCAGATACACCTTGTTGAAAAGGGACAACTAGTACGAAACCTAAATTAAAGATTTACCGCTAACTACTTACGACTATTTTTAACTTAAAAATATCATGGATGCGATTTCGAATTATTTAGACTGGTGGCTATATAGCAGCTTGATAGATAGAATCCGATCAGTGCTAAGGACTAATGAGCCATGACACTAGTAGCTACTCAACGATCAAACAATAGTGGCTTATATTGAGATCATGAATCGGTCTAAGCTAGACCACCACTGGAAACGTGGGAGCACTGGACAGCCGTTTCGTTATGGTATGGGACTCCTCAACAGTGCGCATCCGCTATCCCGCATGTGGGACTCGAACCCAGGACCTTCAGTTTCGTGTGAGGACGCTTAAGCATTAGACCACAGAGCTGGGTTATCATGGTGTTAAGTATGGGACTACATACTACGACGAACTGACCGTCCAGTACTTCCAGGTCTTCAATGGTGGTCTAACATTGACTGGTTCATGACCTGAATAAAAACTCATCAATCTCCAGAACCCTACACACATAATGATTTATTTATCCATTATCGATCTCTAGATAAATGAGAGGGAAGCACAGTGAAATTCATGTACTAAAGGTATATATAATGTAACATGCCGAAAGATCTTCAGATGAATTTACATTGGTTATAACCACCACCATTTGAGACCTCTTATTTTAAGAACATTAACTTTCAAAAAATATGTGCCGATAATGCTTTCAAGTAATCAAACATGGTACTGAATAAGGTCATCATTATTGTTGGAATTAACAACGGATATATCATCCACATTGCCTAGAACTAACCTATAAACATTGAAATTTCTATACTGGATGTATTATAATAATTAACCTCATAATTCAATATCGATCTGACAGCTAGAATTTGATTAGCACATCAGCAATCTCATAAAGAAGGTTACAGCAGGATCGTCACTGGCTTCTATTCTGAGACACATGTGATAATGTCTCTAGCCAATGTGTTGTACGATTTCTCGGACCCCAGCAAGGGAGCAGAGAAGGAGCAATGTATTTGACTTCGAATAATACAATGGTTATGTGAAAACCAGAACGACACTATAACCCGGCTGTTTACATTAAACTGGAAAGAGTGAGTTTCGAATAAAGGACCTAGTTGATTGAAAGTTGAATGTCTAGTGTAGACCACAAATTTATTGTTATGTAATTCGATCCGTAAACTTCAATCCCATATCAATATAAGAAGATTATTATGTTTACAGATGACATTGCCGTTTTCTTTGAAAATATGTCATATTGTCAATGATGAAAACGTATAAACCCGTAACAATTTCGGGACTAACTAAAGGTGTTATAATTATCTCAGGCATTTAATCAAAGCTTTTTTCCAAGACATAAGATAGTCGTACGAGATTTATAGTCAGTATGTTTAACAACCCAACCAGAGACCGAACACAGAACCTTCAGGTCTCTTAGAGAACATATAGTCACTAGAACTAATGGTATAGGCTACTGAGAGCTACAGAAAACTAAATAGCTGTCAGGTTTCTTACTGGTTTTAAACGGTAGCCCAAACTAAGGTCGATGTCTGTGATGAATACAACCTACATATAAAACCAATCTTGCACAAAACCTCCTCACTTTAATGAAATTAAAAAAAACTCACAATGTATAAAAATTAAAACCAGTTTTCCGTATAGTCATAGCACGAGCAAGAACACGTAGGTGTTTAAATTTTATGCCCAAAGTATCTTCTAATGTACACAATTTCTAGAAGGGTTAGTGGACGGTAGATAGTTAGGAAATAACATAAGACATGAGAACATTTACATGAATATAGTTTGTTTTTTCAAAAGAGAAAAATTTGATTGGAAATGTTAAAATAAAAATAAAACAATTAGAGAGTATTGAGACAACCAATAATTATGGAGGTACTGTTTTTTACTTCAGATGAGCTACCTGCTCAAGAATTTATTTGTGTGGTGCAGATTTATCATGATCTCCAGTTGTACTAGTATTTTTGTCTTTTCAATAAATGTTTCGATAGAAAAAAACATCTCTAAAAATTGTCAGAAGTCATTTGCCTAGCTTTTTGTGTTTAGTTATCGCTAGATTGTCATAGTGCGCCCTCCTTCTCAGTGACCATTTGCAATTAAGGGAAAAAAACTCAATTTTAGAGTGATAAACTCTGTTGAGTAGAGGAACTGATCTAGTACACATTCTATTCAACTTTGGAATTTCTACTAGAATTGTGTGCACAGACAATTTTTTGCACATTTGTTTTATCATTTATCATCTGAACAGTAAATCAGCGTCGAAGAAACTGCACATTTTCGATGTTTTGGCCTATACAGAAATTCAAAAGACCATCTATTGGATAATGTACGTAAGAATATATGGAAGGAATATCAGTGCAAAATAATATAACGTGAAGTATTGGAAGATTATTAGTCATTCTGTGGCATTCATTCCTAATTTCAACCATTCATTTTTTAACTAAATCATACAGTCCTGAATAAGTATTATACAGGTGTAAATGGCATCTTTAACTTTATAACATAGTTTTAAGACATCGGGTTAGTATTTTCGGATTCTTAAACCCTTATTTGATCGGGTATACCGGGAACTAGTCAGTCAATCCACTACATTTTATTAAATAGATTAAAAGTTGCCAATAGCACACATAATGTACGTAAATGAATCCTGACATTAATTATTTACACGTCTTGTCACGGGACGTTACACTGACACAAAGTTTCGTTGTATTTATGATGTGGATAAATTTAAAAAGTTATCAAAAAATTTCAGGTTGAGTTCCTGGTTCCACGTTGCCTGGTGCTTGGAATTATTCGCGTTTCGTAGAACCTGAATAGGCGAGAGTAGATTTCTGGAGACGAATATGCTTGAAAAAACAACTGTACTTATCATATAATCGAAAATATCCAGTCACTCAGTCTCCTTTAAAAAGCATAATAACGACCATGTCGAACATTAGCAAACTTGTAGGTGATTGTTAGATAGATAGATAGATAAAAATACAGAAAACTAACCCATTCACCTTTTTTATACCTCGGTCATAAGTTTGTAAATAATGATGAAAACATACCATATACAAGCATGTAAATTTGAAATTATTTTTATCAATAATTACATATAGTAAATGTGAGCATATATCAGTGGTACAAAAATAGACCGTAAAATACAAATAGAAGTTCATAGAATTCACAAGTAGACAACAATCGGCGATTTAACTTTCTAAGCATTATACTGGTCATGATACATACCAAAGCGAACAATCTTTTTTTTTCATTTTTTTCTACATCAGTTCCCAGAAGATGTTCTGAGGATAATTAATACAAACAACACAAGAACTGTTGGATATACCCACAGTTTTATTGTTGTATGCCTCATACTTCTCAATAATGAACATAGAACTGCTTGATCAATGGGTAAATATCACAAACCAGAAAATAGCTTGAAAGTTCTTTTCTAAGTGTTTTATTAGGAAATTCATTTTATTTCTGCCGAATTTATTATTACAAAAAGAGGCAACAAAAAAATCAAGTAAATATGGTAGATCGATCAAGTTGGTAGAACAACACTTTCAGTTTGTACAGAACATATATTGATTGGCTAGAATTCAGTATTGATACAAACCAAAAGGCAATTATACCAAAGTATGATCGGAAATCATTTTAATGAAACATTATATATGTATATATATCAAAAAAGATAAACATCCATTGTTAAAAACTTTAAGTGGCAGTTCAGTGAATTATTATTTACAAATATACGTTCCGTTTATGCCAGAGCGACAACTCACAAGCTAGGAAAGCTTAATTTGTAATCAGTGATTCGAAATTCCGAGTTACGCTTTACATATATGTCGGGTTAAATAATCTGCTTATCCTTGTCAGTTCTCACATACACACATGTGATGATATGAGCCTATAAAATTGATCTATCAAAGTAATTATAACATGAAAGTTGTGTGAATAGATAGGATGTATCAAGGTTGTTTATTTGGTGTGTCTACTCTTTTTACTTACCACTGATATTGTTACTATTTCTATTAGTCTGGGATTTGACTAAATAATTTTATTAGGCTATGCGCTGATACGATGTGACAACTTGAACTAATTTACATATATGGCAGATCCCACGTTGCTTATGACTGACTGACTGATCAAAGTTTCTCAACAATGGATGTTTATTGAAGATATAATTTAACACAAAATGAACATTACAACAATAATGGAGTGAATACCTTTAGCATAGGGACTTTTGTTGCCCATGATCGATCACCTTCAGGGCATTGTGATTGTAATGGATGCAATGGGATTTGTACCCAAACACGATGAATTCTTTCATCATCACCAAATAGAACAGCACCAAATATTCTATCAACAATATCAAGTCCAGCGTCTAAAGTGATTGCAGCTAAGATATATATATATATATATACATTATTTTGAGTAAAACATTTGATATATATTATGACAATCAAGAGTTGTCCATAGCGGACAACGAAAGCTTCACAATTATACCACTAACCATATAAAGCACAATAAAAACCATGTAACATGTAACAAATAATCATTAATTATAGTATAATTAACCAATGCACTTATTAGTAACCAATCAAATGCATGCGAAATATTATCATTATCACTATTATGAGCGACCAAGCATTTTTCGTCTACGATTGATCGAATAGTTTCACACTATTTGGGTGCCGAGTTAATGTGAAACATTAAAGAGGAACAATGTATTTGTATTTTCCAGGCGAAAGGTTAGATTTACTCCAAATTCATTCGCTGAGATTTACAAATACATTCTTCCTCCTTAATGAGCGATCAAGCACTCGGTTAGTTACATTGAACCAATTACTAATAAAAAAGTACAGTTGACATAATGAAAAGTGGAATTATAAATCTGCATTGATCGAATAACATTTTCAGTTATTTCTAGATGAAACAGAAGTCTAATTGCAACACAGTTTAATTTATGCTGTTATATGGTCTGAATAATCAATCTTGTTGGCTCGTTTATACCATTGTCTAACCAATCAGCTTAAATTATTCAACCATTCTTTCTTATGGGTAATTGTAGCGTGATCATTGTCAATTGAAACTACAGAGAGAAGGAACGTTGGACATTGAATAGATTGATGAGTTCTATTTTAAAGTTAACAATATATTTGCAGGAATATTAAGTGTAGTGTCTGTAACTATTTTGAAAATGGGGGGAATTAGATAATTCAATCAGATAGTGACTAGTTATCATGGGAACGAAATGAGCTTTTTTTAGAAAAAAAAGAAGAGAAAGTCATAGAAGGCGGCAAAATTATTTAGAATGATGCAAATAAACAGTGAAAGAAAAAGCCTATCGTCAACATTCGCGAACCATGCTGTAGGGGTTAGTTTAGTGACTAACTACCAAACACTAGTAAGCTGTGGGTCCTAATCCCGCTTTACTTCAGTTTGGACACAAATAGATAGTACAATTAGTCTGTATGTATACACACATGTATTATAGACCATAGTTGAGTTATATTAACTTATTTTACTGCAAGTCGTGAATTTTAATTAACAGTAGACCCATCAGTAGATGTACCTAATGTTCAAAAATGGATCATGTCAAAAAAATTCAACCCGGATCAACCCTAAAAAACTGTCTTATAATTACTAATTACTAATTCAGAGTTCGAAAATTTGTATTGTTGATGGTTGGGAATAAAGATATCCGAAAAAATCAAAAATTACTCTACAGTTTTTCACCGTACATATTGTTGTTGTTTTTCTTTTATCTTGTTAATTGTTAAGACTTGAATCGAAATACCATTTGTTGATAATATAAGTTTGATGGAATTTTTTGAATTATTGCATTCACTATTTACACTGTCATTACCAACTGTCGCTTGAAATAGATCAGAGATGCTGATATACCTAATGATGTATTATCTACAAAGTTACATCCCCGAAAAATTCAAGCTGTTCAAGGCCCTTTGTTAATTGAGAGCACACACAACTCTATGAATAAATACAACATCAATAACCAACATGATAAAACTTACCCATTAAAGCTTCAAATGCATCAGATCGAGCGTAGATAAATGTAGAATCATAACAAAAGTCTACACTATGAGTATACAACAAGTATTTATGAATGCCAAGACGCTAAAAAATTACGAGAAATGTATTCTTAAATATCGAACGAAATAAAAGTAGACATAGGATACATGAAATCAGATATTCACTCATTCGAATGTATGATGTGTGCTATACAACGCTCACAAATAAGAAACAAATCAAAATCGTCCAAGATTTAATTGATTCGAATGTACGAGTTTGAAACTATTGAGCAGTTAAAAGGAAACAAAAATCAAGTCGGAAAAAACACATGTTCAGTACAATTTTCTCAATAACTACTCAATGAATATATTGATTTTTAGTGATTATCACATAAATGTTGCACCTAGGTGACAAACTTACTGTCTGCGATGTTAATTTAAACTCACCCTTTTTGGATAAGTATAACAATTTGGTGTTATGTGATTGGTTATATTTTGAGAGACAAGTTCCAAATAAGTTTCCTGTTACTAATTGAGGTACTAATCACTAGTTAGTTTGTAACTTTAATTTTTATTGATATTTATCTGATGGTACAAAAATAGTAGTTGAATATTTTGTACATAAATAAATTACTGTTTCGATTCTCTTTGTAATATATATATTACTAACTCAGTTGGATAATAGTTTTTTTTTTCTTATGAATTACATTCACTTAACACTGGAGGATCAATCCTATAAAGCAAATTATCACTTTAGACAACAATCGTTCCTATGTAATTGGAAGAATATACATTAATATATTTGGTATCATTCTATCGAGTTAAAATAACGCTCAGATTTCTCCCTGAATGAACACTAATTTGCTTAGGATGAGCACTGAACGATTTATCTGCATAAACGATCCACTCGTGCTCTATGCTGGATACCCAGCCAGCATTATTCTTCCAGGCATTAACACAACTCAAATCAATAACACGTGATTTACCAGACAATCAAGTAAGTACAAGAGGTAGGGAAATATATACATGACACACCTAATACCTATCAGATTATCTACCAGTCTATCTACGTAAACAACCAATCACTACTTTCTCTCGCTCACACAATAAGAGTAGTTAGCTTGGTCATGATAGTAGGTGAAATTCACCTGATTGGAGTTTGCTCAAATACCGTGACCAAATGGTAGAAAAGTTTAGGTAACATGTCTCATCGATCGTAATGACGCATATGAATTCCCTCTTTATCTGAAGATAATTATATTTTTTATTAGACAAATTGGTTGTTTATTCTCGAACTATATTGTATATGCCTAGTGTTTTCTCCTACCGACAACACTACCATTACTATTACTATTACTACTGTTAGATTTATCTTGATAGTTTCAGCTCGCCATGCTAACAACTTGAATTGATGAACACATGTGCTGAATTCTGTCGTTTATGTCTGGGTGATTAAATCATTAAGTGTTCAATGATTAAACTTACAACAGCTAATTCAGCTAAATGTTGATTTTGAACGATGGCTTGACGGTAAGCATCCAAATGACCTTCGGATAATTCAGGGAACATGAAGAATAAGTGGATACTGCAAACGGACATACAGATACATATAAACAGAAAAAGGGAAAAAGAGGGTAAGTGGAGGAAAAAGGAAACTATCTAAAAGCAATATTCTTAGAAAAAAAATCATAGCTATTAAGACAAAGAGGGGTTTTTCAGCAGTATGCATCCAGGACCACACTAGCAATCAGATTCATGATTTTTATGTCTTGAAACGAATACTAGACCACCAGAATCAGAGAACCGGCGTCTAATAATAAAATTTTGACCTCAATTAATACACGATATAGCGAGGCTACCCCACCATCCAATGCCACTGGTAAGAACTGCTTTACTCCTGAGATACCTGGACTCCGTCGATCACGTCACATTTCAGGAACATTTAGAAGTAAATAACTAGTGAGCTGACTATTAACAGTTTAGATGAAAGAGTCTTGTTAAAATCAATTCGCCTTCTGAGTGACTGCGCGCCACGGAATGACATCGATTAAGATGTAATGTTGAAAATCATGGAGTACAGAACACAATTATTTCGTCCTAGTATTATTATTCCAGTAGCTTGTATACACAGTCCCGTAAAAAATCGAACTCAAAGCCATCGGTTCAGTGAGCTAGCACGAAAAACGAATCGTTATTGAACAATTAACAGACAACGACCAGTTATCTAAACAACAACAATAATAATCTTCATAAGCAATCAATAAGTAAGTCACATAAACAACGTATAACCTGACGCAACAGATGAATACCAATCCAACATGTCTCATTTCAAATCAACCCAATTACAATGAGGAAATCATCAAGGTTTGGAACGTAGCGGAATATAATAATCATGATAATATCAATTGTAGTACATTGTTAAATATGAAAAGTAAAGTTCAGTAAAGAGTGTAAATGAAACCAAAGAATGAAATGTCTGGACAGGATACTAACCTCATGAGTTAAGTTCAGATATTAACAAACTAAGAGGAAAGTAACAAAGAAGTCCAGATGAAAGTAAAAAGTCAAATATTAGAGAGACAGAGAGGGAACATAAATTCCAAGCAGAATAAATGAAAAGAAGGAATAAAAAAACGTATGAAATAACAACCAAATAAATAGATGTTATGTAAAATCGTCAATTGACTAAATTTGAAAGTTTTTGATACAGATTAACCTCAGCAGGTAAACCACTGAAAACCAACGAGCACTGGGGATAGACAGCTGTTCCATTCTACTTTTATAACTACTTATTGGGTGGAGGTCGTGGGCATGCACTGTCGGAATATCCCACACAAATTGGATAGAACAGAAATAGTTCTGAGGCTCCACGCCCTTGGTTTTCAAAGATTTACGAGTTGAAGTTAACCAACAATTCAAATTATTTAACTCACTACCTGGAGATAACTTCAACAACTGCATCACCTAAAAATTCCAATCGTTCATTCCCATAAATATTTGATCGTTCTTCATTCATTTTTGGTAAAAATGACATAACTTGTATCATTTTAGTTAAACCCTTTTTACGCCATGCCTTATATAATTCTAGCTTATCACCATATTCTAAAATACGTGGACCGCAACTAACCAATGAATTTTGAAAATGATCTTGATTTGTACCGAAATTTGTTCGCCGATATGATGGATGAGTAAGGGATTGCTATAAAAACAAACAAAAAGAGGGAAACAGTATATAACATTCATGATTACATAGTTATGTCACAATTTAGACTTCTTCCAATCTGAGCTATTTCTATCGCCATTGTTTTGTCAATCTGCATGTAAAAGGTCGGGTCTAAAATACGTCCGTGATGGCAGTTCTGTTCCGTATTTCTGAAACTTAGTCCTTCCGAGGTGAGGATGTTTGCCAACGCTTTGTGTTCAGTCGTCACTAACTCCGAAGAATTGTTGATATCCAGTGCCCAAATCATGCTAATGTGGATGTTCGGGAATATGTATTCGGGGGCAGAGTGACAATAATCCTATTAATGCCACCAACTTGAAAGACCAGCTTCAATAGCTAAAACGTGTTTTACGAATGTCATTCCAGAGGCTTCCACATCAAGTATTAATTACCGATGCCGATATAGGGTAGAAGAAACAGAGGGGCTGTCAATTTGCGACATAGGACCGTGGTATAAATTAAAGCTGTATATAACAGGGATCTATTGGTTCATCAAAACTCGCTGGTTGAGATCCCAGACAGGGTGCAACTTGATTAGCTTGAAGTATTATCAAATATGTTTTAGAATAGAAGCTGGTAGTTGTCCTGCTGTATTTTTTTACACTCTTCATAAAAGTAAGGCTCTCTAAACTAAAAGAGGTCTTCCTTGATTGTAATTTTAAATAACTTATCTATACTGTTTGTGATCACTTATTCTTTTGATTGCACTCCCCTCTTCTTCATTATCCCTTCATAATGTTAGCTTTTTATTTCGTATGATGTATACTATTTTTGGTACTCAGTTCACTTAAACCAAATTTTGGGTGAATTAAATATACAACAATAAAATATAAAATAATGTTCTATGTTGTACGTGTTCCCAAACATACGTACATATATACATACACACATAAAGACCAGCAGAACAGAAACTTACATGTAGTAAAGACTTATCGTTAAATGTATATCCCAAACGATTCTCCAAACTTTCCAACGATTTATGAAAACGTAGGTGAGCTATTAATGAGACTAAATTCAATGCATATTGTGGTATATCTGGTCGTATTCCAGTTCGATAAAAGCCTTCACAACTAATCTCTACAGTAACTTCACGTCGATGTACCCTAGAAAAAACGACAGATATTTATCATTAGAGGTAATAAATAACAAGATTGTAAAATAATTGGAAAATAGTTACTAGATTGATTAATTTAAGTATAAAATTAATTGTGACACACTTTTAAAATCTTTTTATGCTATTCACTATTTCAATCAACCAATCTGTCTACAATAGTTTGAAGTTTGAATGAGCTTCCCAACGAATACAGCACTATATGTGTTATATATTCTCATTCCACTAGACAGAGAATATTCAGCAAGTACACGTGTTCATCTGTACATAATACTTTTGAGTCATAAGTGTTTTACCAGGTAGTTTGTAATACCAATCTTGATTGCCTAGATCGAAGCGAACGAGGAGGGGAAAATTAGAGCATGTAACCGAATACATGTTGTTTTATCTGTTAAGCGACCCCCAACTCGATTTTACTGTACAAGGAATGCGGATAAATAGAAAAAATCCAAATCTTATGATAATAAAGGGACGGTATCTGTTGTAAAAACAAGTTGTGAAATGACCTTCAGATGTTTAAAATCCCTACCATAACAGCCAAGTGTTGTTATATGCAACTGTTTAAGAAAATATAATCTGAGTACAATTTTTTACTTTGAAAAATACCTGATTTGGATTGTTGCATTAAAAAACGCTAAATGAAATATCGATTTTAAAAGACAACAAACATAGTTATCGAATTAATAAACCTTGAGACATCATGGTACGACAGGGGGTGTGGTAAGTTTTCTTGTCCTCGAAAAATGTTCTCATACGACCACAGCTTTTAGCCTCTGTCGGAAAAGTCCTAACCACTCCGTTTACGCAGCAAAGTAAGAGAATAAAAATAATAAGTTAGGCCCTTAAACCAGGATACTGGGTACGGTGAGTCCACAAAAAACAGTTGGAAAACAGCTTTTCGGTGCTTCTTGGTTCTCAATGCTTGTTTGAGCAAAGTTAGTCAGTTGATTATTTAGTCTATAAATGTTAACAATCACCACAAACCCATTACATTAACGATCGAAACAGAACTTACCCAGAATGTTCCATCTCTTCTAATTCACTGGCTAATTGTACTAACTGTACACGATCAGAAGTACTAATTCTTGGCTTATTCATCATTAAATATTGTAATTTCATAAAATTTTTAAGTACAGATTTATACTTTGGTTCACGCGTTAAACTTAATTTCATTGGTGTATAAGTCATGTGTACTATGAGTGGATAAATTAATATGGTTTCGTTTGATTGACCTGTTACAGATTGACGATCTAATTGATCTATGCGTATAGTTGATGGTTTCTGCAATATTAAAATTAAAAGGCACACAAAGAGAGGGAGTTGAGAAAAGTAATAAGTTATCAGAATACATTTACTAGTCAGTAACAGTATACAATCCAAATGATAGGATAGGTCAATGAAATATATGTTTCTCCTTTATTTTGGACTTTGATTTTTACTACGACATGGTCTCAATAATCCTATTGAGTAGTTGAATAGAATAGATAGATCACATCTAGCAGTGGATTTGAGGACGTGCATCTCATCCTATTTCGAACTCTTTAGCTGGACGTACCTAAAAAGTTTTAGTGTGAACATCAACATTGGTATGAAGGTGGAGTCAGATAACAAGTCCTAAAAAAGACGAAATGTGCGTTCCGAATCTCGTTGATAGCCACAACCCATCTATATTCTATTATGTCCTATACTTGATTACGGCAGAATACGGTATACAAATATCAGCGCTCAAACGTGTAGAACCTGATAATCACAAATTAAGAGACAGAAGAAGCAAGAGAAGTCGAAAATGTGCACAAAAACAGGGGTATTTATAGTTCTTATAATAGGCTATAACATCATTATAATCCGCAAGTAGGAAAGTTATACAACTGTCCAATAAAGGCATGCCACGTTGATATTTTAGAAGGTTCTATCGGGTTATGATTGGATGGAATATCTTCGTCTCCTTTAGAGCCTCTAGAAGCTTCATCGTGCTTTTTGTGAGCCGTCCCAACACATTCCGTAAAAATTATCACAAATTGGCTACATAAAAGCAATCAGCGTAAGATGTACATATCTTAACAACGACTGATTTAAATGCGATCAATAACCAACTTACTTTGCCTGGAAAGCAAGCTAATGTGCCTCGTAAATTAGCGATATGATTTGACCATTCAATTGTAGTCATACGCTGTATTGAAGATAATTCCATCATATTAATTACCGGAGTCAGTGCCTCTTTTAACCAGTGTCGCATTATTACATGAACGGGTAGTAATTCCCCAATTACTGTATTATTATCACTACTATCATCGATACAAACGATTAATTTATTTGACTCGATATTATGTTCTTTACTGTTATCTATTGAAATACTATTGTTAGTAGTAGTGGCAGTATTTGTAATCGAAAAATTATCATTGGTAGTAGTAGCAGTATTTGACAAAATACGTATAAATCTTGGCATTAAATGTATCACATTACAGCTCTCCTTTGCTCCATATGGTTTCCAGTTTAAATCTAACAACTCCAGTAATTCAATGAAGACATATTGTGTGAGTAGATCTAATGAACGAACAGTAAAATACTGAAAAATAAAAATAAAAATATTTAAACAATTGAAGGATAAGCTACGGTATACACTACATATCTTTTAAATGTAAAGTACTTCTGCAATACTCGTAGGAGTCAATGCTTACACGTTCTTTGTGGTAATCCGTTAGAAGTAATAAAAAAATTCATTTATCTAGGTAGCTGTGAAAGTTTTAATGGTGGTGTAATTAGATCAATCAACATACAGTGAAAGGCAGATAGACTCATTCTAATCTGGAGCACCTTTGGAGTTGTCGTAATACTCATCTAGATGTCAGAATTTGGATCTACAACGCGTCGGTGAGACCAATTCTGTACCATACTTGTGAAACCTGGTCTCTCCGAATTGAAGATGTCCTACGACTATGTTTCGATCATCGGTGTCTCCGAAGAATTGCTGATATCCAGTCAGTCAGTCAGTCAGTAACAACGTAGAACTTCGTACGTACGTACATCAGTTCGAGTTGCCACACCACATTAGCACAGAGATGCACTTGTCGATTCAAATCCCGTAGTGATAGAGGTAATAAGAGTATAAGCAGTAATCGGGAAGATTAGGGTTTGGAGATGTTATTTAAAGAGTATAATCCAGTGAAAGAAATTTGGAAAGAGGAAAAAAGGGACATGAAGAATTCAGAAGATTAGAGTTTGGGAGAACACAGAGAGTGGATGCACCTGCGCCACTATTACTACATCCGAGCGCTTAGCTTTTCGGAGAAGGTCCGAAAGCTTTCTGTAAAACTCATCTTTTACATCATCTGAGCTGCAGTCAGTGGGAGAATAGGCAGAGACGACGAAGAGGCAACGATGAGTGTCCCTATCTTTCCGAGTCCTTATTGTTCCGTTTAGATGGACAGCGCACAAGCGACTGTCTACTGGGATCCAGCCTAAGAGAGCTAGTTCTGCCCTAGGACTCAATGCTATACCTACGCCGGCGAGGCCACGGGAAGCAGAATCAGGGCTTCCAGATACACGAAGCGTAAATCGAGTCGGTTCTTTATTTTGGCATGGTGAGGTCAAATGAATGACGCTACTTGGATCCTGTATGCGCGTTTCGGAGACGCAGTACACATCGATGGCGCGAGATTCTAAAGTTTTAGCTAAGGAAGCCTGCTGTCCTATTTGGCAAAGTGTTCGTACGTTAAAAGCTCCTACGTGTAGTTTAGAGCGTGGTTTCAGGAGACCAGGAATAGCGTTCCACGTACTCGAATCGTTTGCCCTAGCGGTGCGAGGTGATAAAGAGACGTGAGGAGGGTTAGTCGGGAGGATAAGAGAGGTATTAGGAGGTGTAGGAAGGATTTGAATGTGACCACCTTGGTCTCTTGTGCTGTTACGGGTATGAGGGCTGATGTCACTTCCCGGCTGCCCACACCGTGGAAGGGTATTTCTTGAGGAACCTGAAAAGGAAATTGGATTAGTGTTGGTCTTGACGACCTGGGAGCGTGACCGCAGAGCCCAAGGGACAACTGCTTGAGGCCGGTCGCGCACGGCCTTTTTGTGGAAGGTTTTTGACGTGTTAGCTCCGTTCTTCAAGGGGCCTTACCGCCGGAGACGGAAATCCGTGAGGTAAGGTGAGGTGTGCATTTTTAGGGTCGACCTTTTCTAACCCCACCCTTGCTTGTGGGAAGGCAGCATCGCTGTCATGCTGGTTGTCCGAGGGAAACACCTTACTGCTGTCACACCTCTCTACAGTCAGCAGTACGACTTCGCCCTCAGACCTTGAGTTGCTGCTTTTAGTCTTACCGTTCGCCAATCGACCTGCCTGGCATGGTAGAACCTGCAGGAACATATGTTCCAGCCAATATAGCTCAGTTGGGTCATCACGATAGGCAAGCCCGACCACCGCGTCAAGGTAGCAGCTTCGATCGGGGCTGATATCCAGTGACAGTACCATATTAATAATGTGGAGGTTCGGTGTTCAGGCACAGTGACAATAACTCACTTGGTGACATCTTGAAATACCGGCTTCGGTGGTTTGGAGATGTGTTATGAATGTCATCCTAGTGACTCCCACATCGGGCATACTTTGCCTATGATGGAATGGAGTAAAAGCGAAGGTGGTCAATTTATGAGAAGACCCCGAGATATGAATCAAAGCTGTATATGACTGGGACCTGCCAGTTTATCACAATTCCTCAGTTGGGATTAATAGTGATTGTGAAACCCAGTAATCATCACAATCAACAACACAATACCAAGTGTAGTAGAAACAGATAGAAAAGTCTAACCTGAGGGAATTCCTCTTCAATCGGGAAAATATCATATAACAGATTGAAACGTAGAACTTGACATGGAGGTGGCTAAAATTTAAATATAGCAATACAAAGGTAACTTTGAATACAACAAAATGATTATTAGATTTCCATAAATTAATAAGAAGAATTAACAAAAGAGCTGAAATAGTATTTGTGATCCTTGAAAATTAAATGAAAAGGAACATAATTTGAAAGAAACAGTAAAAATATACTTTAAATTAAATCCTCACCAGGTTTCACTCTAATATACGATTATATTTATATGGATATACCAATCAAATATAAGCTTCATTGTCCAATTATCTGAATACTTCTTATTAAGTAATTTTATAGTTTTTATGAATGTTATTTCAGCATTTATATTTTTCCAAGTCATTGACTTGTTTCGAATTATGAGACATTGATTCAAGCCGTTGTTATTCTGATCACAACTAATACACTTGTCATCATCGCACTATCAATTTGTACTTTCTACTTATTATGTTTATTTCATGTCATTTATTCCACTATTATTACAGACTCGTAAACTGCCTTGATTGGTTTAATAATTTCATATATGCACATAAATATTATTGTTTATTACAGTAAAACCTGATGAAAACCTAATTGAAAACAATATTGTTCGCTTATATATGCGTTCTTCTAATTCACAATATGGGGATTTCTAAAATATACTTTGTTGGTGAATCAATCATACCACAGGTAATGGCTATTGAATCTGTGAATGAAATTCAAGGTCTGATGATAGATAGTTGGTATCTATATTATTTAAAATCATCAATATTCAGGTAATATGATGCATAAAAATGGGTAACATGGAGAGGTTAAAGCACAGGAATTATAATTTATGATTGTTTGAAAGCAATTAAAAGGTTTTTAACATTCAAAATAAAAGGACCCACTGTACAAGTATTCATTCATGTGACTAGGAAAGCATTATTACTCTATTTTTAACCAATACTCCTAACTTCTAACCAATATTCTGTATCTTAACTACCAATCTTAAACCTAAATTCTAACGCTAATCTAAACTCCTAATCGCAACCATAATTCAACTATGACCTGAGTTTTGAACTGGATAATAACCCGATAATGGTTGAAAGTCTGGTGTGTTTCTTATTCCCCATCATCGGTCCGCACATTTCATTGAAAATCTATTTCGGATAATCATCATGATCAAACTTTCTCTAAGAACGATTCCTTAATCTTCTTTGTTCATGTAGCGTTTAGTATATAACTCTGTATTTAATAAATCAGTTACTTTAATTTGGTAATTTATTATATCTACCAAATAAAAACGATAACTCGTAAACTGTTTAGATCCACATGTACTTAGTTTGACTATATGGAGGGAGAAAAATATTATAATTATACGTAGATGTTTGTGTTATAGGTTGATTTTACTTATTAAAACATATATATTAGTATGAAGGGGTGCTAAATATATATGTGCCACACCACCATTCGACTTGCGTGAGGTGGTTTTCTTAGGCCATTCCCCGAACCTTTCACTTAGAAGTCTAATCTGCAACGCAGTGGAGTAACGGTTTCATGCGCATTAGTGTATTTCGTGGCTAGCAGCTATGTATTCACTAAAGTACACATTAAAATGTACTCCGACTATTCTATAGGTAGGGAAAGCTTTGGGTTGGCTGATCTGTTATATCAAAAACGGTGGAATTCTTAAGTAGTCCTTATGACATAGTACAAATCAGCTGCAATATAGTTTAGGTGGAAAATCGATCCAATCAACTTTGATTTTCCGATGTAATATGAGATACTCTACATTCCTAAATTGTAACCTGCTACAAATTAATTACTTTAAGGAGTGATCGTCTTGATGAATTCACAATACTGTAATATTTTAGGTTATCTGAGCCAGTGATCTGTTCGAGTCCACTAACCGAATATTGTGTTGTTGATTGAGTATCTATAAAAACAGAAGTCAACAGGATTGCATCGAACGTTAGATACTCCACAGGTGGTGAAGGATCATCATACATCAAAGTCAAGAAGTGTTCAGTGTCAGTTCTGTGCGAAATTGTCTAGTCGGTGTTTGAAAGTTTTTATAATACGGTATTCTCAGGATATTGGGAGATATTGCAAGAGGAATAGGGGATATGATCTTTGAAATGAATATACAACAGAGGCAATAAACACAATCATTAGGTGCTATAGTATTTGAAAAGACTAATGAATTAATCATTAAACTAATTGAAAACGAGATTCACAACGAATTAGATCTACCTTATCTAATTTATAATGCATAAACAGTGAGAAACCATCAAATAGATAATCATGTTCATTATGAGTAATTTTCGATGGGTTTGGTTGAACAAAATTAGTTGTCGGTGATATAATCACACGATAATGATAAAGACGATCATGATTATTTGATTCTGGAATACATAGCGGAATGGGCTGAAAAAAGACAGATAAATATTAAAAATAACTAAATGTTAATTTATGATATTGATTTATGTTTGTTAAAATACAAAACAATAAAAATACATTTAAGAGTTATATTTAAATATTATCTACTTGTTGATATTCAAGACTGAATACCATTACTGATCAAAGTTATTATGGAAATATGTACATCATAAGAAAATGCCTTGATATTTCCTTAAGAGTACTTTGGTAAATTTAGATTATAGCTTTCTTAGAGGAATCTAGGACACGAGTTTCGTCACTAGCTGGATATACCTGTCACATTCCAGTATGTGTTCAGGAAGGGACTCCAACCCAGTACCTATAACTTTAAACGATGTCATCGTCCACTAAGCTACTAAGTCGAGAGGTTATTAGGTAATAACAAATACGTTTATTTGTTGATATTTAGAAATAAATACTGATCAGTTTCTGTTAGCGTATTTGAATTCTGAAATAGTTTTTTTTCTGAAATAACTGGGTAATTATAGTATTTCGAGAGTTTATACTTAGATTAATTTAAATTGATAATGTAATTGGACGAATCAAGAACAACCATACTTTGCGTGTGTGAACGGGAGATAGCTATTAATACTAGTCAAATGGATGAACCAAAGTGATCGAAGTGAAGTTTGAACCTACAAACCAGTAGGATTCAAAATCAAATGTAAGGAGAATAAAAGTAATTTATTTACAAACTATAGGTGATTTTACTGGGCATTGATCAATAACTATTTAAGGGTTAGTGCTGATATACTACTATTCAACTTCCTAAACTGAGTACATTTCGCAAAATTCGAGACTAATAAGTTGACCCACTTTGAATAGTGCAGTCACCTCTAATCTACTCGATAGTGAGTACGACACTGATATTTCGAAATCATCGCGGAGTCGATCAAGACTAAAAGAACCAAACAGTCATGATATTGGTCAATACTCAGTAATAAATCATTTGTAAAATCCTTTAAAAATAATCAGTGAGAACTTTGAATTTATTGTATTCAAGCTAAACTATTGCTGTCAAAAGGCTTAAACTGGACTTGTGCGTTCGAAAGGATACTGTTGTCAGTTTAGCATTGCCCTAGTGACCTCAGTTTCCAACACCCATTGAGATCATGAACCGATTAATGCTAGATCATCACTGGAAACCTGGAAGTATTAGAGGCCGCTTAGTTCCAGTGTGGGATTCTTTAGAAATACCCATCCACGGTCCCGCACGTGAGACTCGAACCAAGGACCTTCAGCCCCGCTCGAACGCTTAACATCTAGACCACTGAGCAGGCAACCAGCGGTGTTACTATCTAACCTAACACTTAGTTGGGTAGCTATTGAGTCTTGCTGATTTGGACGCTATATTCGTTCCTAAGCTATTCTGATAACCCACACGCTAGAACTATACAGCGACCTGAACACCAGAAAGAAGACGCAAAGTACGAAAGAAACACTTTATTCCAAGGTTCGTTTTTGTACAGAAAACATGGGTATTTATAGATGTTAGCGTTTGTTAAACCAACATCATATTTCGACCAATCCGTTAACGACACATTATGCTACTGACCAATAGTAGCACGCTACGTTGGAATTCTAGAATGCTCCGTCGTGCTCTGATTGGCTAGGACTCTTCGGTACCTTTTGGGCCTCTGGAGGCTCCGTTGAAGTTCTCAGAAAGCCGACTCAACAGTAGCTTCTCATGTTTGGGTCTCAGTAATAAGTTTATTTTCTTCATTCGTGTGTCTTATCCCGGACCTACTCGCTTTATTCCTCTAATCAAACCTTTTTTGTAATGGTTGCTGCGTAATTTTTAAAGTTATTTTTTCCTGTGAAATGTTACCATGCATTTTCTTCGACAATATTCACATTATTCTTTCTGAAATCATAGTATAAATTATGTACACCGTTTGTAGATCATAAATAAAACTATTCCTAGGTTGTAAGTAGTCGAGAATTTACGAAGTTAATGAATTCATATTATTCTACAGAGATCGTTGTTATTATCTTATTCGAATTTATAAATGGGAAAAATTGTCTGAAGATGACGTAAAATTTAGTCATGGGCAACTGCTTCGTTAGAATTCAATCAACAATAAACAAAGTAGTGCAATCTGGAAAAAAACTCTAATCAGTCAAGGTTCCTACATTTCATCGCATCAAACAGAAGAGTTAAAAAAATCAAGCCAAAATAGTCAGAAATGACAAATTAAGAAACAAAGATCTAGTGATGGTTTTGTGGTCTTTAATATTCATCCTTGGCGACTGATTTTTCAATTAACTCATTTAGAACGTACAGATTCATGCAAATGGTATTGACGGCTAGTGATACTATCCGGTTACCAGGACCGAAGTAGGTGGGATGGGGTACAAACCTTTGATTTAGTGGTTGAAAGTCGAAATCTCTAACCAATGAACTTGCCCTTTAGTGATTCCTTACTACTGGACGATTACTATTATTCTTGGTCGTAAATTCGGAAAAAAACAAGACAATTATTACATGGACAGTAAAATATATATGGCTCTTCCCAATACAACAAAAATATGACAGACATTTATGATCTATATCATTATGATTAGTATAACCGTATAGTACAAAAAAAATTATATTAACATTACCTGTTCACCTTCGTATTGATTGTGTAATGGTCCAATACGATATTTCGGTTTACAAGAACAAGCTGGACCATCATTGAACTCGTTAGCTTCATTATGCCAAATATCAGGATGTAAACGATTAGGATGTTCAATTTTATAAGCGACTTCACGTTGTTGTCTTATACTACGTTGACCTATGGAATGGCCACTGACAGTGTGATAATCAGAATTTAAAATGCTATCATTACTCGTGTTATTAATACTATTATTAGATGCACAAATAGATTCATAATTATTGACTTTATGTTTACGTAAATGATGATGAGAGTTAGATGATGATGATTTTGAATGTTTTGTATGATCGATGGATAAGTTCTGTAATTTAAAGCAATATAAAAAACAATGATTAGCATGGAATCGAGTAAAGTGTGTTTTTGTAAAAGAGATGAGATATGTACTGAAAGAAGTTACCAGTACGTGAGTTATTTTATTTCAACTTACTACTACGCCAGGAAACACACCGCGTCACAGTTGAGAGTGGCTGGGGACACATGATGCATGTTCTAACCAAACCACCACAACCAGTAACTGAGAGATCCCGGTTTTTATATGAAGCCTTTATCATCAATCAAAATAAGTCATATTGAGGATGAGACACTTATTACAGATAAGAATGGATGATGATTGAGGTTTATCGAAAATCGACTGCAGTTTAAAATGTAAGCCATTAGAATCGCACTCATTAGTGTAGAGGTATTTTCCTTACTGAGTGTCCTGGAATCATGTCTAAATTTGAAATACAGAGAAGCAATCTTGAACCACAAAAAATTTGCTATCCAATGTTTCCTGGTTTAATATTGACAGTCTCTGACGAGAACTAGCCATGATGATTAACCTTATTGTTGGGTTCTGTGATACATAGGATGCCGACCAATTAAAATGCACCATAGATGTCGTGTCGATACTCATAAACTTATAAACTTTGAGCAGTACTGTTAGTGAGAAGGGCAGTAATACTATAATCCATCTATAAGAACCGAAATAAATGAAGAATAGTTTAAATTAATGACCTAATAGATGAAACACGGATTCTTTAACTATTGAATGCCACCAATCCATTTACTTGAATAATTCGATTGCATGTAAACATCTTTAAGCCTTATCATTTTCAGTCTAAACCATTGCTGACGAATAGGATGCGAGCATCAAATGTATATATTATTATTTACAAAATAACATCAGCAATGATAAAAAATATCAATAAGTATTATAACAATCAATTAAGAATACCTTATTTCTAGATTCAGTCGATAAACAAGCATCTTTTGAAGTTTCTGCGTTATCACCGATAGCCGCCAAGTAGTCATCATCATTATCGGAATTATTGTCAAACATTGAATTCACTGTATCACATTTGTGGGTCGACTTTTTCGAACGATGAAGATGTGAAGCACGGGAATTACGTCGATGCTCTGTTAATAAATAAATAGATAATAAATAGATGTGTATAATTAACCAACTGACCAGATGAAATAGATACTATGCCATCTAAACTTATCTTGACCAAGTTTACCACAGTTTACTTCATAACAATTTACGTAACTATAGAATTGATGCAATGAGATTATGAAGTAACTGTGTAATTAATTTCCACCGATCGCTATTGTAAAGGAAGGTAATATGCAGAAGGAATTTATATTTATTGTGAGAAGTTACAGACCATTTACATTATACGTATACATAGCCTTTACTCGTCCTTTTACATCTTTCGGTGTATTCTGGAATCTGAACAATTTTATCATCTGGTCTCCAAGTGTTCTGCTAACGCTGTGCTTTCAATGTACTGAAGCTCTTTACTCCGTCAACAACTTTGAGGCAACGTTCCGCAAGACACTACTTACAAGCAGCTTGTGAGTAGCGTCCACTACACTACGACTCCCCATTTTGTTTTAAACAATAGTATCAACTGAAATTCACAAACAAACACGGATTTATACACTAGAATAAGATTGCCAGACTTTTATAAGTCTTGTTTTATAACTTCTCAAGACACTGAGTTTTACGATCCCTAGAACTCTATTCGAGGTGTTTTGATGAGCTACATTTGATGGGGGGGGGTAAAGTTACACTCAAAGCGGCATGTCCATTCAGTACAACAAAAGATAGGTTTCTATACTTTCATTCGAATAGCACCTATGGTTTTTGAAAGTCGATAACTAGCTATTCAAGCAGAAGTAGAAGGGGACGAAACACTGCATCAATTATTGAAAATCGGCCGCTCAGACAAATAGACGATATTATTTTAGAATATATACTCTAAGAATTATTTATCTGTTAGGTCGTTAGCAGAGACCACACAAGAGAACTCTTAACACATGTTTTGTGTCAGTGTTTGTTAATAGTGTTCCAAGAAGCTAGAATTACAAGCCACTGGACTGCATAACCCTTAAGATCCCACCCGAAAAGTATCAACAGATCGGGAAATCCCAACCATATATAGCTATATTTCATTCCGTGGGATTATACAACAAACTAACTGTATTTCCCGCCTAATCTCGTTCACATTTAGATTTAATAAAAGTGTATTACTTAACCCCACCCATTTAATATTAACTAAGGCACCTAACGGTGCTGTTCCATCTAGTCTATTGAGAAAAATTAACTTACTTTAGACTTCAAAATTGTACTGATTATCGTCGAGAAACTATTTCTTGAAAATAATTGTGATATAATGGAATGAATAGTGAAATATAACTTTTGAGGCTAATATACGAGGAATAAATATTTATATTTTTATTGTATGATTGTCGAATGTTTAGACTGCTGCATTTTCTTTAATTTCCCTGGTTCTAAGCTTTCGTTTGATTTATAAATCTTTGCCATGTCTTACTATTCCAGATTTACCATTACTTGGTTATTTCCCTATTACTCTAGTCATGTATCACTTATGACCAAGTTATTTACGAATCGTAATTTGCTAATCGTGTTGCTATATAGTCAGAGATTTCAGGTATGTTGTTTGAGTTTTGAATTATAATTTGATTAAGTACAATGGCAAAATGATTTGCCTTCTGTCTTCCTCTTCTAATTGGACACCAGGTTGGACACAACTTGAGGAACAATAAACGTTAAGATTTTGGCTTTTGTTTGTTGATCGCTGTTAATCAAAAAATAAGACGTTCACCGGTTCTACTGGCATTATAGATGAACTAATCGATAATCGGACTAGGGAGATAGATCATAGTACTGCTTTTCTATTATTTTTGGATCGATTACGTGGGACCCAATAAAACTTGCACACTCAATTTGTTTCTTCAGAAATAATTTACTTTGTTCTGTTTAACTGGAGCTATGCCATAAACAAAAGAGTAGAGTTTACTACTACTCACCAGTATCCGACAATGCAGGACGTTCAGGAGGCTGTCTTACTGGATCATTCAAAGTAGCGCGATGACGTCGAGCGATCACCTCATTTTCAAACCGATCTTCCAAATCAATAAGTTGACGTGTAGCTACATACGACCCAGTCTATTTGAAAATAAAAGAAAGCAATAGTCCAAGCATAATAAGTGTTCGGTAGCCAGTGGGTATAGCATATTTCTTTATATATTAACGAACTGATTTGGAAAGGTTAATTGGTTAATTTATTTAAATGACATTGTTTTTTTACACACTCAAATTATTTATCTGACGTGTAAATCAGTGATTTGATGATTAAAACACTTAATTTTTAACTAACAAGTAGCAGGTCCGCACCCCACAACAACTACTCAAATTCGTACAGATATGTAGTAGTAGTAGTAGTAGTAGTAGTAGTATTAGCGTTAGTACTAGTATTGTGGTGCGTGCTATTTATGTTGATATAAGTAGTATGTTATGTGAGTCAGGAATGTAATGTCTGGCAGCAGAAGATGAGGGAAGATCAAGAAAGCAAAAGCGGGAATAGAATGCAATTTGTATGAAAATGTAAGAACAATGAAGTCTGAGGCATTTTGAGACAACTGGTGGACATTTTGCAAATTAACGATTTGATATATAGTTCTCAGATTTTATTGGCATGCCCTGTAATTTTGTGTAAAATACATCCCGTTGTCCTCACCTGTGTCCTCCTTCACTACAGTATTAGTAGTGTTAGTAGTAGCAATAACAGTACCAATAACCATAACACAAACGGTGGCTCAAAGTCGAGTAAATAAATCCGTACTTGAAAGCGTAGATAACATGGATGTTATTAATATACACAACAATACGAGATATTCCCCTAATGTATATATGTGAGTATGAACGTTCATGATGTTACTCGCACGGGCTTTTTTTATTAACTGATGGAATTCTTTTTCTAGTTGAGGTATTGAACGTAATGAAGAATTAGTTATTGAAAGTGTTGATAAGAGATTAATTGGTCATCATATTAGATCAGACAGATCTCGATATGATGGTTTAGAATTAGGTCAAACAATCAGGACTTAATTGATTAGAGAGTAAGTGACCTACCAGCTGAGTTTATTCAATCGCCTATAACATTTTACCATGTCGTTTTTTTGTGTTAATATTTTTTACATAAGCATATCACTTTGCTACACAAAGGAAACCTATACTTCTGGTAAGTGGTCTTGATTTTTATCTAAAATCCTTCTGGAGGCTTACACCAATAATTAAGTCGTGTGAGTAACCATAACTCAGAAACACCGTATCGTGACATACCAAATCTCGGACACCACTCTACTCATCGATTTTGATAAGCGAAAATCCTTCAATCGAACCATAATATCCCGCCCTATAATAGATCCATTTATTTCGTTTTAAATTATAAACATATCATTTTATGCCTGAACGTATTATTGTCGACATTTATGGTTCCTTTTGCTTCAAACGTAAAATATCTGGAAAAAATAATCTAATACACATGCTATCGGATAACAGACTTATTTTTCAGTAGAATAGTCAGAGATAATATAAAAATCGTCTCGTATGTGGAACATTTGAATCATTGTATGAAAATAAGCACCACACCTATTTTGTACTGTTAGACTGTCAAGAGATTTTACGAGGCTAAGAAGAGCCGCCATATATACTAGTTCTATCGCAGTAAGGAGCTGGAAATACTCAATATGTTTATGTATTTAAGTAGCTCAGATGAAGTGAAAGATGAATTTTACAGAAAGCTATCTGAACTTCTTCAGAAAGCTGAACGTTCAGACATAGTGCTCGTAGCAGGTGACTTTAATGCCCAGATAGGTAGTTTAAACCAAACAGAAAGGCATTTAGGTGGGTATTTTAGTATTCCGGCACAACGAACAGATAATGGTGATCGTCTGCTACAACAGTGCTCAGACAATCGTTTATTTTTAGCAGACACACAAAGAAGTACATTAACCTTATAAAGGCTCTCTACTCGAACACAACTGGTAGAGTAAGAGCTTATGGCGAACTGTCATCAGAATTGATTACCTCAAGTGGTGTTCGTCAGGGCTGTCCACTCTCTCCATTCTTGTTCAACTTTGTGGTCAACGTACTTTTAGAGATAACATTTTCCTCATCTAAATTTCCAGGGATTGAACTTCTACCAGGAGGTTCACTTGTTGACTTAGAATATGCTGATGACATAGTTTTATTTGGTGAAGACGCTGACAAAATGCAGAGTATTTTGACCACTCTAAGCAACAATGTAAGCATGTTCGGGATGCGATTCTCCTCCTCGAAATGCAAAATGTTGCTTCAGGATTGGGTTACATCGACACCCGAACTAGTGATAGAGAGTGAAGTAGTTGAGTGTGTCGACCGCTTCACTTATCTTGGAAATCTCATCAGGCCTTGTAGTCTGGTGTGTGACGAAATCTCAGCACGGATATAGAAGGCTCGACTAGCTTTTGCCAACTTGCGTCATTTATGGCGTAGGCGAGATATCCGTCTATCAACCAAAGGACGTGTTTACTGCGCAGCAGTTCGTCCCGTCCTACTTTATGGCAGTGAAACATGACCGGTAAGAGTAGAGGATATTCGTAGGTTACTAGTATTCGATCATACGTGTCTTCGAAACATTGCTCGTATATCATGGGACCATCGAGTAAGTAACACAGTTGTTAGGAAACGGGTACTAGGTAAGGATGGCAAATCAATTGATGAAGTAGTGAAACTTCATCAGTTGAGATGGCTGGGACACGTGTTACGTATGCCCAACTGCCGACTGCCTCGACGTGCTATATTCAGTGGTATAGGAGTAGGTTCGAAGAAAGCTAGGGGCGGCCAAACCAAAACATGGCACAAGTCCATGAAGTCACTGACAAGTGGACTGAGTCATGTTGGTAGGTGTAGACTACCTGGTTGGGGACCGCGAGATGATAGCAGCCGATGGTTAGAGACCCTGAATGACATGGCTCAAAATCGTTTGCAATGGCACAGGTGCATCCACTCTTTGTGTTCTCCCGAATTCTAATCTTCTGAATTCTTCATGTCCCTTTTTTCCTCTTTCCAAATTTATTTCACTGGATTATACTCTTTAAATAACATCTCCAAACCCTAATTTTCCCGATTACTGCTTATACTCTTACTACCTCTACCACTACGGGATTTGAATCGACAAGTGCATCTCTGTGCTAATGTGGTATGGCAACTCGAACTGATGTACGTACGTACGAAGTTCTACGTTGTTACTAACTGACTGACTGAGACGCAAATTTTGAGCATAAGGAGAGACATCGTCTAACATGGCGACCCCCTACACCAAACCAACGATAGACCATATTGCCATCAGTCATCGTTGAAGAGGGTCGATAGAAGATTGTCGCTCATTCTGGAGTACCTGCTTGAACTCCGACCATGCTCTAATACGGGCACGCATCTGCTTGTGCCTCACTGGACGCAGAAAAGCATACTCAGAAGACCTATTAGAACTGAAATGAGTAACGAGAAAACCAAAAGTAGGTAGGGGTCACACTTAGTTCTGAAAACGAGGCTGACCCAGATATGGCTTGGATATATACAAGTAGCTGTGGAAACAGCAGTGACATCTATCAGTGATTTAAACCACAGGGTTACAAAGAACCAATGGATTTCATCAAGTTCTATTGCACTGATGGATTCTCGTAAACTCATCCCATCACGTTTTGAACACGATGAAGAGCGTCAACAGATCAGATCTCGGTTAATCAAAAGTCTAAGGAACGACTGTGAGCAGTGGTGGGCAACGAAAGCAAAAGATACGGAAAAGGCGGCGACTATAGGGAACACAAGATAGCTCTACAGACTAATAAAAAAACTGGAATTAATAAGTCAAGTGTAAGTCAGACTATTTCGGAAAAAAGACGACACTCATCTGCTCCCAGTCCAGACGTTTAGAACGATGGGCGGAACACTTTAGGGAACAGTTCAGCTGGCCTTCAGCTACTCTACAACTACCCTCCATTCCCAGACAGTGTGAATGGAACATTGAGGTAGGTCCCCCGACTCTTGCTGAAGTTCAAAAGACTATAGTTAATCTAAAACGAGGAAGGGCAGCTGGTCCAGATGGATTGGCTCCAGAGGTCTTTAAGGATGGTGGTCCAATTTTAGCGATTAAGTTGACTAATATTTTAGCTAAGATCTGGGAATTAGACTTTATCCCATCTGACTGGTCGCAATCACTTATCGTCCCAATATATAAGAAAGGGTCAAAATCATCCTGTGACAACCACAGAGGGATTAGTTTAACAAACATAGTATCTAAAATACTGGCCTCGATAATTATCAAACGCCTAACTAAGACTCGTGAACTACAAACTCGAGAGAACCAAGCTGGCTTTAGACCTGGTCGTGGCTGCATCGACCACATATTCACCATTCGTCAGGTTCTAGAACACAGACATACCTATCGGCGTCCGACGATGGTGGTCTTTCTTGACTTAAAAGCAGCGTTTGACTCGGTAGACCGCGAGATTCTGTGGCAGTGTCTGTCATTGAAAGGCGTACCTCAGAAGTACATAAACCTTGTGAAGGCTCTTTACTCGAACACTACTAGTCGAGTCAGGGCTTATGGCGAACTGTCATCTACTTTTGCAACCTCAAGTGGTGTCCGTCAAGGCTGTCCACTCTCTCCATTTTCGTTTAACTTCATCATAGACCTACTGATGGAAATAACATTCTCGTCGACTGAATTCTCGGGTATTGATCTCCATCCAGGAAATCCACTTATCGGCTTAGAATACGCAGATGACATAGTCCTGTTTGGTGAAGACGCTGATAAAATGCAGTCTTTTGGTAGCACTAAGCAACAATGCCAGAATGTTTGGAATGCACTTCTTTCCATCTAAATGCAAGTTGTTGCTTCAGGACTGGTCTGCGTCAACACCTGAACTAAGGATAGAGAGTGAAGTAGTCGAACGCGTTGACAACTTCACTTATCTTGGAAGTCTGATCAGCCCTAATGGGTTGGTATCGGACGAAATCTCAGCACGGATTCGAAAAGCTCGTTTGGCTTTTGCCAACTTACGTCACCTATGGCGAAGGCGAGATATCCGTCTATCAATAAAAGGACGAGTATACTGAGCGGCAGTCCGTTCTGTTTTAATTTACGGCAGCGAAACATGGCCATTAAGAGTAGAAGACACTCGTAAGCTACTAGTATTTGACCACAGATGCCTTAGAAATATTGCTCACATCTGCTGGGATCACCTGGTAAGTAATAGTGAGGTTAGACGCAGGGTATTAGGGAATGATGGTAAATCAGCTGATGAGGTTGTGAATATTCATTGACTGAGATGGTTGGGCCACGTGTTACGTACGCCTGAACAACGATTACCACGACGTGCAATGCTAACCGGTGTTGGAGATGGCTGGAAGAAAGTTAGGGGCGGCCAAACCAAAACGTGGCATCAGTGCTTGAAGTCACTAACTTTTAATCTGAGCCATGTTGGTAGATGCAGACTACTTGGTTGGGGTCCGCGTGACTATCGTAACGAATGGTTGAAGACTCTTGGTGACATGGCTCAGAATCGATCACAATGGCGTCGGTGTATACACTCCCTGTCTTCCCTTAAACTAAGAGATTAAAATCGCTCCATACCTTTCTTTCTACGAACCAATTTTTTCTTCTTGTACTATATCTCTATATGCAATCTTTCTCTTATATATTACCACCTTTGACATAACCACTGCTATGAATCCGGTGTTCATCTTGTTGTGTTAATGAGGTATGGCAACTTGGACCGATGCATATATGCACTTGGTCCTACGTTGTAGCTGACTGACTGACTTGATTTAAGTTGTTGTGTGATTGTTGGTGGAGGCGTGATAGATAAGATTATTCCAAGTAAATTACAAACCAAAAGTCGTTTATGTCACTCTAGGCCATCTTCTACACATTTTTGATATTAGTTTGACCAATAAAAGATCGGGTGCTCAACACTATTGTAAAGGCAGTACTGATACATACATGTAAAACCGAGGCCTTTAAGTTAAGAATGCTAGAAAACCATATGAATGCGATCACAGTTATCTATGAAGAATAATCCTTCTGTTCGGTAACAACACCGTGGACGTAATATTGAGGTTCGACATAGTGAAAATGATGACTAAATAAGAAACATTAACTTTAGTAATGTAAGAGTGTCCTACGTATGTCATCTCAGTGTCTTTTATACCGCACATTAATTTATAATGCTGGAAATATGTAAAAAAGAGCGGAAATAGAAAGTCTGTAATATGGTTCTATAGAATAAAGGATAGTTGTGTTGGTGACTGTTACCTCATTACGACTCCACTGGCTTCAGATTTTATCAAACATAACTAAAAACAAAAGCCAATACCTATCTTTTGCCAATTTTTCACTAGATTTCTTATAAATCGTATGACTTGAGGCGATGACTTAGTGGTGAAGGTGTTCAATTTGTAGCCACTATGTCCCAGGTTCGGGCGTCGTTCCACTTCGATTTCGGCAACCGGGTAGTAACATTAACCCTAAAACTTGGAATGTGATTCATACTCAAGTATCCAATGAATGAGTCAATTTACTTTTTATTGATTTAGAATAGTATGATGCATCTTGTAAATGAGCATAATCTATCTTCGTTGTACACTAATTTGAACAGCCTGCTTTAACACTTTTTATTCTTGCTTATTATATCATATGCTTTCCTCTTCTCTTTCTTTCCGATATGATCAATTAACATTAAATGATGTCTATCTTGATGCTCTATTATACAAAGCATCGTTTCGTCTCAGACGAGATAGAAAACTTAGGACATAATTATACTCAGCGTAAGCCAATGAAACAGATCCTCATTACGATGTATTATAAAACGTCTCGAAAAATCGTGTTTTGAACGTGATACTCATATTTCTCAATTAGTCAGTCCCAGCGTCTTAGATGGAGGGTTACTATTGAGCTTAGAGGTGAATGAATAAACTTGTTTGAAGTGAAGTTGAATTACACAGTAAATGAACACAAACTTCAGACGAAACAGTATCCAATACATTCTGCTACAGGGAATCTACCTATCATCTAATAGACAACACAGTTACAGATAAAAAGTTGAGTTATTCAGGTTATAACCTTTTGATTTTCCTTTAGTTATGTGATATACATCATGCAATTTTATACTGTAGAAATGATGATAAACATCAATAGCTAAATAATAATTTCTCTTAACAAAATGTGTTTGAAAATTGGAAAGAACGTGATTTCCATCAGAACAGACTATTTTTTATTTATTTGAACACAAACACTGGTATAAAGGGGCATCATATGTATATAGGTACATGACAAAAGGAAGCACGAGAACTAGATTTGAGACTATACAGGTTACCTTTAAATATACAGCGTATACTTCAGAACATTGCACTATTACGCTACACATTCAAGTAAACATATTGAGTTATTTGTTTATTGAAATTCGTACGACACAAAGAATTTAAAAACGGCATTGCTCATCTTTTAGTGACTAATTTATAAAACAACAGTATGTATTACCACGAAAATGAGCATGAAAAATGCATGCTACTTGACAATTTACTGTCTTACTAAGGAATAAAAAAAATTACTTACACTACTGTCAAAAGCAAAGTAATCAAGTTCCGAAGCGTAGATCAGTTTGGTATATCGTAGAGGATGCGATTGTTTTGATGACGTTGATTCACTTTTAGAGTTATTCGGTTCTGAAAATCTGTTGAAAGACAAGAATGTAGAAGGCAAAGAAAAATTTAGGAAAAAAGTCAAGTAACTTTTTAACTGGTATTTCAAAAAGTAGTTGAACAACTTACAAAACTCTCAAAATGCGAGCGTGAGAATGAAATATTATTATGTTTTTGATTTTATTTTGACAAAATAAAAATGAATAATTTTTAATAGTAAAAATAATATATTTGTAACAATCAACCCAATGCTCAATTTATTCGAAATTATCAAATCAAACCTTGGTAATGACACCTACAATTTTTAATAGTAGCTAATTACAATATACTGGAAGACGTTTTATTCCCAAATAGCACTAATCATGACATTTTGCCTTCCAGATTAAGGAATAAAGCATATTAATCCCGTACAGCCACGAGAAATAGATTATGACCCCCATACTTTTAATAGACCCCAAATGCCCCGGTACGGTCGAGGGTGGGTATGGTTAGCTCTCCCTCTCGAAATACTCTTACATGGCTACGTGTATACAGCAACTTCCAGAGGAGTATTACTGCCTTTTCGTGGCGGTGTCATTTACGGAAGTGAGAGGACGAAAAGCGAATGTCTAGCGCTTTAACTGGGTTTACGAACACGGAGGGTTTACCTAGGGGACTTGGGAAACCCTCATTCCAAACCAATGGTGCACACGGGCTGGCTCCAGTATCCTAAGAGAACAAATGGAGTAAGAACCAATCATTAGTCACCGGCCATCATGGGAATTTATTTATTATTTATTTATTTGAACACATGAATATTGGTACAAGAGAGCGCCAATATATATGCGCCACACAAAACAATGAGAATTCGAAGAGAAATAGAAAAAAAACTAAGGAGCGCAAAAGAAAAAGGGAACAATAACGAAGAGATTGGTGTAAGGTAGTGTGGTAGTAATGAGGGAACGCAAAGGTACAATCGGAAGAAATCTTTCAGGTAAGGGAGACACAACCACTTTTTATGAAGAAAGTAAAAGAAGGTTACAGCAGGATCGCCACTGGCTTCTATTCTGAGCCATATCTGATAACGTCTCTAGCCACTGTGTTTCACCATCTCTCAGACCCCAACCAGGGAGTCGTGAAGGACCAACACGAGCCAGCCCTCTGCAGCTTTCTTTCATACCACGACACCATGTCATGCACTGACCACCTCTCCGCTTCTTCCAACCAGTCCCAGAGTCGGCAAATAATACACGACGTGGGATTCTCTGGGACGACATTCGTAGAACATATCCAAGCCACCGAAGTCGGTGTTTCAAGATGGTGGCACCAATTGCATTATCGTCTCTGTGACCGAACACACGATGCCGGACCTCTGCATTACTGACATGGTGTTGCCACTGAATGTCAGCAATCCTTCGGAGACAGCGATGATCGAACACAGAGAGTCGTCTAACGTCCTCAACTCGGAGAGACCAGGTTTCACAAGCATAGAGCAAAACTGCTCTCACCGACGCGTTGTAGATCCGACCTTTTACAGCCAGACTAACATCACGAAGGCGCCGAAGGTGGCCCAGATTGGCATAAGCCGCTCTGGCTTTCACTATTCGTGCATTAATCTCATCACTCACACCCCCACCAGCACCTATGCAGCTACCCAGATACACGAACTTCTCGACTACGTCTATCTGCTCACCATCCAGGGTGAGTACAGGATTAGAATCCTGCCAGTCTTGTAGGAGTACTTTGCACTTCGAAGGTGCAAAGCACATACCATACCTACGGACACTGATTGCCAACTGATTAAGTGTGGATTGCATGCCTTGGGCATTATCACACAGTAAGACAATATCGCCCGCATACTCAAGGTCGAGAAGTCTTTCTCCAGGCAACAGATCCACACCACCATCACTTACATCCATCAGAGCTGTTCCCAGAATGTCATCGATGGCAAAGTTGAAGAAGAATGGTGAGATTGGGCAACCCTGCCTAACCGCACTGCTCGAATGGAACAATGGAGAGAGGTGGTTGTATGCCCTCACTCTGCCTGAGGTGTTTTTATATAGGGCTTTTAGGATGTTAATAAACTTCTCAGGCACACCCTTCTTCAATAGACGATCCTAGAGAACAGTTCTGTCCAACGAATCGAAGGCAGCCCTGATGTCAAGAAACACTACGATTGTTGGCCTTTGATGAGTATGGCGGTGTTCTAACATTTGGCGGAGGGTGAAGATATGATCAATACATCCTCGACCAGAACGAAACCCAGCCTGCTCCTCGCGAGTCAATCTTTCTCGGGTTTTGAACAACCTACGAAGCATGACGGAAGCCAATATCTTGGACGCAATCGGAAGTAGACTTATCCCCCGATAGTTGTTACAGGAACGAAGTGAACCCTTTTTAAAGATAGGGACAACTATCGACTCATTCCATGACGTTGGTACACTCTCTAGTTCCCAAACCTTTGTAAACAACGTCGTCAATTCCTTAGTCAAAAAGTCGCCACCATCTTTAAAAAGAGCCGGAGGTAAGTCATCTGGGCCATGTGGTTTGTAGCGCTTCAAGAATTGGAGTTCCTTGTGGACTTCCGCCTCACTTGGTGGATCAGTCGCCACCGGCCATGGAGGGCAGGACAGTCTGACCGATGTTGCCGGAGCAGCAGGCCAGTTGAACTGCCCTTCGAAAAATTCTGCCCATCGTCCAAGACGTCGATGGATGTTAGTGATTGGCATCCCATCATCCTCGCAGATTGTTTCACTCACACCAGACTTCTTGCTGCCAGTGGCTCAGATGAGTTGGAAGAGCTTCCGGTAATTACCAGATACAGCTTCTGCTTCCAGCTCATTAGCACGATTCGACCACCAGGCTTCTCGGTCCTTACGCAAGCTTTGCCCAATTTCCTTACGTAAAATCCTTCGTTTATGGTCAAACTCACGGTCACCCGGAGTAGACCGATGGGCTTCGATGAGTTGTAAGGAACCAGAAGAAACCCAGTGCTTAAAAGCGGGACGTTTCGCAAACCCACAACTGACTGTACCCGCCATTTTCATGGCGTCATGCAATTGCAACCAATACTCATCCATACTTTTCGGTGGAGTGGTAGCTAGCCTAGAGGCTAGCTCGGTTCGATACTTATTTGCAACAGAAGTTGCAACCAGCTTGCTAATACCAATCCTTTGATGGCGGTCACTTCGTTGTCCACTGAAAAGTAAGGTAAGATTGGCACAGACCAAGGCATGGTCAGAGTCCAGATAGGTACTCCAAAAGGAGCGGCAGTCTTGTACACAACCACGCCAGCGGTAGCTGACCGCGATGTGATCAATCTGAGTCCAGGCTTGAGATGCAGAGGGAGGACGCCAGGTGGCACATCGGCGATGACTGTGCCGAAAGTTAGTGCTAGCCAGAAACAGGTTGTGGTCTGTGCAAAGTTGCAGTAGACGGTCCCCATTATCTGACCTGCGACCAACGAGTCCCCATCGGCCACCTGAACGACTCTCTTCTGTGCCTAGACGCCCGACCTGAGCATTCAAGTCTCCGGCTAGTATCACAATATCTGTCGAACGCACTTTCTGGAGAAGAACAGATAACTGGTGGTAAAACTCATCCTTGATTGCATCCGGGCTGCAATCTGTCGCGCTATAGGTGGGGATGACGAAAAGACATCGTTTCTCACGCCGATTTCTTCTCACTTTGATGGAACTTTCTAATCTAACAGCACATAACCGACTGTTAATGGGGATCCAATCGACTAGTGCTGCCTCAGCTCAAGCGCTTAGTGCGACACCAACGCCAGCAAGACCAGACGAAGATGCCACAGGGTCCCCGGATAAACGCACGTAAAACAAGCTTTTCGAAGCGACAGATGGAGATCGAATTTGTAGTACTTCGCCAGAGTCTTGAATACGGGTCTCGGATAGACAACAAACATCAATATTAAGACTTTCCAAAGACATAGCCAGCCCTATCTGTTGTCCGACCTGCAGAAATGTGCGAACGTTGAAGGCAGCCAGTTTGAATGGTGCACGTGGTTTCAGAAAAACTGCTTCAGTTCTCGTATTCGGTGGTAACATACAATTTTCAACCGGACAGTGACTCGAGAACGTTTAGATATAGTCGAATTTCCACTAAAGACGAGCCACTGTAGAAGTATAAAAGAGGGTGAATAATGTGGAAAATAATAATAATGATGACAATAATAGTAATAATAATAGTATTAATGATGACAATAGTTGTAATGATAATAATTTGAATCAATCGAATGTTTTTCGAAGCGAGAAAAGTAATTTCCATAGACATAAAGGGTTCATCATTTGTGTGTGGGCTGTGATATTGCCCGGGTGCCCAAACCGAAGCAGGTGGTTATCTTAGGGGGCCAATCCCCGAGCCTTTGACCTAAAGGTCTAACCCACAAGGCAGTGGAGCATCGTAAGGAGATGCAGTCCCATGGTAGCCGGTGACCAACGATTGGTTCATACGCCATTCGTTCCCGCAGGATACTGGAGCCCACGTGCACCATTGGTTTGTGATCCGGTTAAAGCGCCGGACGTTCGCTTTTCGTCCTCTCATTTTCGTAAACAACACCCCCGCCACGAGAAGGCAATGAGTAGGACTTCCCTGGCAGAGGCTGTATACGCGCGGCCGTGTGAGAGTATTTCGAGAGGGAGAGCGGACTCTCCCCACTCTCGGCCGCACCAGGGCATTCGGGGGCACCTGCTTCGGTCTGGGCGCCCGGGCATTATCACAGCACACACAAACCAAGTGACTTGTGTAGCGCACATGTATTCGGCGCCCCTTTGTATCAATATTTGTGTTCAAATAAAATAAATAAGTCATTAGTGATACTACCAGACTGCATAAAATAAAATAGGACGGGAATATATTTCGAAATAGTTAGAAGTATATATGACTGAGTTACAATCCAGTTCCTCTTCTTACAATATTGAGAGACAAATCTCACTTATGATTTTATCTTACGTCAACAAAAGAGCACCAGGTTAAACAGGCAATAGGTTTTGGAGAAAGGGTTGTCATATATAGCTAAGCCAAGTAAATAACTAGTCATTTGCTTGGTAATATCTAGTAGCATAGTAAAATTTTTATTGAAAATAAGATAGATGCGCATACCCATTTTCTTCGTTTGATCGATTGTATGAACAAGAATGTTTGGTATTGTTGGTATTCATAGTACTCGCGACACGTGTAACGGTATTATTAATAGTAACAACTGCAGCAGAATTATGAATGAGAACGGCGTTGCTGGACTTCGAAGTTACCTGAGGTAAACTGAAAGACGGAGGTGGTTTGTGCGGATTGAATGTTTGAAAGTATGAATTTGGTGGGACATTCGGTTGGAAAGTAGGGAGATTTTGGTAGGGATGAATGTACTGAGCAGATTCTGGGAATAAATTGGTACTTGGGGGATATAAAGTGTGGTTTGGGAAAGCAGGTGCTACCCATGAAACTGGTTGTGAACCGACAAAAGGTGGAAGTTGAAAAGGAGGGCAGAATCCATAAGGAATAATTAAGTTTGTTGAAACCACAGGAGTAGGATATGGAATGTTAGCATGATAAGGGAATGAATATGGAACCAATGTGTTATTAAAATAATTTGAACTGTTGGTAGATGAAGTTGAAGTCGAACCAAACGTTGAACAAGTGATCGAAGATGAGTCCTGGCTAGATGCACCAAGTTCAGTTGAACTACAACTTGCTGAATGGTTGAGTTCTGGGTTTTCTGCAGTTGATAGTACATAAATCGGTCCATCTGTTGGCAGACTGGAAAGCTCTTTAGGAGAGATGTAAACAATTCTTTTATCAGTCGGAAAACGACTTTCAGTCATCTAGAATTTGAAATACCATAAAACTATAAGGATTCCTGATGTCGTAAGCTCCTGTTTGTTATTTAGACAGAAAGCTCGAAGCCAACACTTATTACACAACACCAATAAAATGGAGCAAAACCAGTCGACTGAAACTTGATTTCAGTTTACCATATAAAAAATATGTACTACACTTAATAAAAGAAGAGTAGGAGAAAAACAAATAAAACGAGCGGTTTGTGCATCTCTGTTAGTTTGTTTCCAGAGCAAACAAAATAAATATTGCCGAGCCACAAATGAGTCGGTTTTTTTAATTAAACCTGATTATTTCGAACCAGATATCCGTAAGACATTTTACCCAACCAGTCATGATGCATCAGACCTCAATCTAACATGAATATTCACCACTTGGAGTTGACCCCTACAAATTTCCCGCTCTCCCAATCGGCAATGTATTTTATAGCTACTAGAAAACAGGGCTTTGATACACTATTAACCTTGTCAAAAACTACCGACGACTTCGAACCCCAGTTGAGTGTGTGTCGAAAACCTAGAGTACAAATTTCAAACAAAATATACTTAATGAAGAATAGGAGTGATCAGTTTCAAAATGCCAAATAACGGCGATAATTAAGTTGGGAATCTTACTATCGTAAGATTTGGTAGATATAACTGGCCTTAACGTCATGAGTTTGGTAGTTAATAGGTAAACATTGATAGTTCACGATATGATGCTGATCCAATATAAGAAAACATATCGCAACTATTGAAAACATCAATGAAAGTTAATTTTTAGTGCCAACATCTTAAAGGCTGGTTAAGTCAATATGTGTGTAAGAGCGTACTAGTTTGTCACAACAAAGCTGCCCTAGAATCGTATAAGGGACACAAGAAATAATTATTACATCACTGAGAGCAGGCCGATAAGAAATCGAATACGTCGTACTAAACACCTGACCGGGAAACAAGCAACAAACTCGCCTTTTGAAAGAACGCCAACAGCTCGAAATCGAGGCACCAATTCAAATATGTACAGTATCCAATATCTTAGCACGAGCTTGTATAGAATAATTGTTTTCTTTGCTCTCGCTTCTTGTTGTTTTGGTATCGTTCCAGGTATATGGTAGTGTCCAGTAGGCAGTTGGTTTGATATTCGACTAGACTTATCCTGGTGATAGTTATTTATGGATTTGTATATCTTATGGTAGTGTGAGTAGGCTTGTCTCAAGATAGTAGGGATTCTGAATACTGTGAGATATCACATTACCAGGCAGGAGGTTGGTTCGTTGTAATATGGAAACAGCAAAGTGATAACTAGGGTACTAAGAGATTATTGTTTCAAGACTAAATAATTGGTTTACTTAATTGATAATTTGTATGAATGAAGCAGAGTTCATCGTAGCTTGCGGATATGACTAAAATGTTCTTTTAGTACACCAATGCCCAGTGACCTTGACTGGTAGGTCGGATAACTCTAGTCGATAGGTCCAATCATTTGACCAGTACAAGGCACTTAAATCGGATACTTTTTAGAGAAGCCTTGACAAACATGTACTGGCCTATGGATTGCCACCCCCTCTTGGACTAGCTATGTCTGGCGCATATCTGATAAATTCCCACGGCTATCATTAGCTCATAACCAGTAGCTACTTCCTATCTCCTTTATTATAATCTCCGTTCTCCTTCAATCGCTTTGACTGCGTTTTTTTATAAATTATCAATCAAGTAAACCAATTGTTTAGTCTTGAAACAATAATCTCTTAGTACCCTAGTTATCACTTTACTGTTTCCATGTTACAACGAACCAACCTCCTGCCTGGTAATGTGATACTCGCTCAACTATAAGATTATATCAATGATTTTCGTACTGAGAATTAACTTTCATTGATGTTTTCAATAGTTGCGATATGTTTTCTTATATTGGATCAGCATCATATCGTGAACTATCAATGTTTACCTATTAACTACCAAACTCATGACGTTAAGGCCAGTTATATCTACCAAATCTTACGATAGTAAGATTCCCAACTTAATTATCGCCGTTATTTGGCATTTTGAAACTGATCACTCCTATTCTCCATTAAGTATATTTTGTTTGAAATTTGTACTCTAGGTTTTCGACACACACTCAACTGGGGTTCGAAGTCGTCGGTAGTTTTTGACAAGGTTAATAGTGTATCAAAGCCCTGTTTTCTAGTAGCTATAAAATACATTGCCGATTGGGAGAGCGGGAAATTTGTAGGGGTCAACTCCAAGTGGTGAATATTCATGTTAGATTGAGGTCTGATGCATCATGACTGGTTGGGTAAAATGTCTTACGGATATCTGGTTCGAAATAATCAGGTTTAATTAAAAAAACCGACTCATTTGTGGCTCGGCAATATTTATTTTGTTTGCTCTGGAAACAAACTAACAGAGATGCACAAACCGCTCGTTTTATTTGTTTTTCTCCTACTCTTCTTTTATTAAGTGTAGTACATATTTTTTATATGGTAAACTGAAATCAAGTTTCAGTCGACTGGTTTTGCTCCATTTTATTGGTGTTGTGTAATAAGTGTTGGCTTCGAGCTTTCTGTCTAAATAACAAACAGGAGCTTACGACATCAGGAATCCGTGTAACAACTTAGGTTGGTTGGTTAAGAGTTCACCTCGAACGACTAAATATATGACAAAACATTATATTTCAAGTATTCATTCACTTCTTTATTTCCTTTCGGCGTTATTTTTCCTAATATCTTATATTGAATGTTGAGAGGCTTTGTTTATCTGAAAAAATGATCCCACGCTCCACTGTTCGAAGATCTAAATAAAGGAAGTAGCAACACTTATTTTAACCAGGAAAACTAACTTCGGCCCTCGATATCTGAAAAAAATTACTCAAAACAGAACATATTGGCATTTTATAACTTAAGACTAGCCAGCTTGTTTGAAGAAATACACTGACTTGAGTAGCAGCAAAAACCTAGGAAAGAATGTTGAATGGAAATAAATTTTACGCCAACATTTAGAACATTACAGTAACTGCGGCATTTTAGTTCACTAAAATATTAAATAAAGTAGCGACATAAAAAATAGCTGAAAAAACAAAGAACGTGGAGTTCCGACCGCCACTGCATACAAAAATGGCAGGCACAATAATTCCAGCTCCATTCTGACTGGTTGCTAAGCTGACTGTCATGTTTAGGAAATCAAGATGTCCTTAATAGCAGCCTTCACTGCTCGTTTGGTTCCTATCAATAGCACGAGGGTTAATTAGAGGCACGAAACTGGTGAGCCCTATTGAACACAAATTTAACCTCATTTTTGTTATTAGTATTACTTTTTTGACTTATTTGTAAAAGTAGACCTTCTGATTATCTGTAAACTAAGTTGGGTATATACATAGTTCTTTTTTATCTTAAGCTATTCGTGTTTTAGTAACCATTTTCCATGCTAATTCCATTACTATATTGGTCACATACCTCATGTCAGACTCCATACAAGCCAAAAACCTGGAGGATTTGTCACCAGTGGAGATAGACACTGTTATGGTTACGAAATCCCGACTTCCAGAATTTGATCGTAGTGATCCTGAGTTGTGGTCAGCTCAACTAGAGCATTATTTCACGAGACACAATGGTAAAGCTGAAGGAATTCGTTATATAGACTTGTGTTCTATCCTTCCTCCGTCAGTCGCCAAAGAAGTCCGTGACTTGATTTTAAGTCCTCCATCACTACAACCATACACCATCTTGAGACGAGAGATAATGAACCGTTTCTCATTATCAGACAGTCATGGAATCCAAAGGCTTTTCCAAGGAGGAACACTGGGTGATAGGTCGCCGTCACAGTTTTTTCGTGACCTCCAAGTCTTAGTGGGTGATAACAGTGAGTGAGGCAGTCCTAAAACAAGGATGGATACAAGCTCTCCCATGCTACGTCCAACACTGTTTGGATGCACAAGATCCTGAAACCTCATTATCTCATTTAGCGCGTATAGCCGACAGAATAATGGAAAGAGGTCCTCCAACTGGTTCACGCACGATAAATCACAAACAAAAAGAAGAACCAGCAAAAGACCCAGTCATAGAAGGACTCATTGCGAGTGTTAAAAGTCGCACTGAGGCTGTCACCAGAATGCAAATGGGTCATAGAAACAGAAGCAGGTCACCACAACGACCACGATCCAAGTCACGAAACAGGTCACAAATGTCCAGACAATCTGGGCAGTTTTGTTGGTACCACTGGAAGTTTGGTGTCAACTCAACCAAGTGCATGCAACCATGCGCCTGGCCTAAGCATAATTCTAAGACAGCGGGAAACGAGTAACCCCTCCCCAGGTCGCGACGACTGAGGAGGGACGCCTAAACAGTCGCTTGTTTTATGTTAGAGACAGAAACTCTGGCTTGAAATTCCTGGTAGATACCGGTGCTACTCTTAGTATCATCCCTCAAAATAAAACTGGGTTGAGCCGAGAAACATCATCAATTACACTTCAAGCTGCCAATAAAACTAAAATCGCGACATTTGGGCAGAAAACTGTAACACTAGATTTGGGGTTCAGAAGGCATTTCTCCTGGGTTTTCACTGTAGCCGATTTAGATCTGGCAATATTGGGGATGGACTTTCTAGAGAGATACGAATTTCTAGTTGACACCAAGAAACGGCGATTAACACTAAAAGAAACTTCGTATTACACAAAAGGCAAAGAAGATCACATCAGCTCTCTTAACTTGATTCGAACTCCCCCAGTAACAACAGCGAAATTCCAAGATATACTCGCGGAATTTCCAAACTTAACTAAACCAAACCCACAGCCTTCTAAGGACAAACTAAAAGTGAGTCACACTATCAAAACTGAAGGTGCACCGGTGTTTGCAAAACCCAGGAGACTAGCACCAGATAAGCTCAAAATCGCTAGGGCTGAGTTTGATTATATGCTACAATTGGGTATTATCCGTCCCTCTGATAGTCAATGGGCATCCCCTTTGCATATGGTCCCAACGAAGAATGAAGGTGACTGGCGACCGTGCGGGGATTACAGAGCCCTCAACCGTCAAACCGTACCAGATAGGTACCCAATACCGCATATTCAAGATTTCACCAACGGTCTACAGGGTATGAACATATTCACTAAAATTGACTTAGTCAGGGCATATCACAATATCCCAGTGGCTGATGAAGATATTCCCAAGACAGCTATTACTACACCCTTTGGCTTATTCGAGTTTGTACGCATGCCATTCGGCCTGAGAAATGCGGCACAGACATTTCAAAGATTCATAGATAACCTACTTCGAGATATGCCATTTGCGCAGGGGTTTATAGAGGACTTGTTAATTGCCAGCCCCGATTTGCAATCACACGAACAGCATGTACAAACAGTGTTGAAAAGACTGGATGAACATGGAATAAACATACATCCAAGTAAGTGTGTTTTCGGTGTTCAAACTTTAGAATTTCTCGGTCACACAATAAGCCCAGAAGGGATTAAACCTATCAAAAGAGAAGTGGATACCATCAAACAATACCCCGTACCTAGTTCTCTAACACAAGTGAGAAGTTTTCTAGGCCTAATTAACTTTTATCGCAGATTCATACCAGGTTGTGCACAATTAATGCAACCTTTGACAGATTCACTCAAAGGAAAACCAAAAGAATTCAAACTGTCTTCCGACGCCGTCGAAGCTATTAAACAGCTTAAAGATAAATTAGCTCAAGCAACTACGTTGATGTAACCGAATTCTCTTTCCCCACTTGCTTTGATGGTGAATGCTTCAGATAAAGCAGTAGGCGGTACCCTTAACCAACTGGTTAAAAACGCCTGGAAACCAATTGCTTTCTTCTCAAAAAGACTCGCTCCAGCCGAAACAAGGTATTCTACCTTCGGGCGAGAACTTCTTGCAATCTACTTAACCATTAAACACTTCCGACACATGTTAGAAGGCAGGGAATTTATAGTCTTTACGGATCACAAACCACTGACGAATGCACTAAAAGCGAGAGCTGATAAATACTCACCTCGA